GGTTTCTCCCCAGTCCTATGGCCCCCTCAACTGGTTTTGTAGTCTCTAGTTTATTTTCAGAACCTTGTGGGGGGGGGGGGCTCAAAAACCGCCCCTATCCCTGGCGAAGGCTTGCAAATGGTCCATCCTCAGCAGAACAGGGATCGGATTCTTTTTTTTGGGGAGGGGAGGGCACACCCAGACGTGCTCAGGCTTCCTCCTGGTGGGGATCAAACCCAGGACGGTCACATGCAAGGCAGGCTCCCTCCCCATTGTTCTAGCTTTCCAGCACCATGAACTCCACACCCAGTGGCCCAGACAGTGTTGGGGAGACCAGAATCTGGATCTCTGCCAGAAGCAAGTGATCACAAGGCAAGTGTCTTATTCCTTTAGTCCCTCTCCGGCCCCATGAACCCAAAACCTTTTCCAACACCTCCCATGAATCTTGTTTTGGGGCCACACCCAGTGGCTCTCAGGGGTTACTCCTGACTCTGCACTCAGGAATCACTCCTGGCAGGGCTCCGGAGTCCATATGGGAGGCCGGGGATTGAACCTGGGTCAGCCAGGTGCAAGGCAAGCGCCCTCCCCACCAGCGCTATCACTCCAGGCCCTCCCAGTGAATTTTTTTTTCTTTTTGGGTCACACCCGGCGATGCTCAGGGGTTACTCCTGGCTCTGCTCTCAGGAATCACTCCTGGCGGCGCTTGGGTGACCAAATGGGATGCTGGGAATCGAACCCAGGTTGACCGCATGCAAGGCAAATGCCCTACCCGTTGTGCTATCGCTCCAGAGCCCCACTGTATCTTTTTCACATGTGCAAAATCAATCCTACTTTCATGGTGGTGACTGGAGCACGTGGCAAGCCTCCACTCCTTTCTCAAGACCGAGCAGCCCCCAATTCTGTGAGGTGCTCGACCTCAGTTGAAGTCTTACGTTGTTGGATTCAGTTCTCCAAAGCACCCAGCGTGGCCACTGCAAGTGGCCCCTTGGGGATCGGAGCCTGGTGAAAATGGGGTCTACAGTGAAGTCCTGCGTCTGGTTTTCCTGTCTACCAGCATAATATTCCCCCCCCATATCCTTTCTTGGGGAGGTAGACCACACCCTGCAGTGCTCAGGGATCACTCCTGGTGGAGCTCATGGGATCTTATGCGGTGTCGGAGGTCAAACCCAGGTGGGCTACGTGCAAAACTACTTGCTCTACTCTCCAGCCCATCAGGAACTATTCCTGGCTCTGTGCTCAGCAGTGACCTCTAGTGGCGCTCAGGGGAACTGACAGTATACCGTGTTTGGGAGATTTAAATCTTCCGGGGTTTGAGGAATGTGAGACAATGCTTTAACCTCTGTGCTATCTCTCCGGCTCCCTCCCCCCCGCCCCGTCAAAACTTTCTCTTTCTTCTTGATCACACCCAGCAGTGCTTAGGGCTTGCTCCTGGCTCTGCATTCAGGGACCACTCCTGGCAGACAGAGCTTGGGGGTGCCTACATGGTCCTGAGGATTGCACCCTGGTAGGCTGTGTACAAGACAAGCATCCTACGCGCTGATCGCTCCAACTCCCTTCATCATTTTCCTAAGCTGGAGGACAGTCCTGTCACTTGCCTCACCTTCCCTAAAGGTGCCACTGAGGGTCCCACATTTTAGATGTGTCTGGGGCAAAGGGTGTTTGCCCATCATATATCATGAGGGTTGAGAGCTGAGGGCATAAGAAAATTAGGGTGTTCCTGGGCTTCCCCAGCCCAACACAACCATTAAAGCCCCTCAGGGGTTCGCCTACTTTCCATAGGATTCTAGAATCATGACAACCCCCCCCCCACAAAAAGGGGGGGCTGGAGCGATAGCACAGCGGATAGGGCATTTGCCTTGCATGTCGCCAATCTGGGTTCGATTCCCAGCATCCCATAGCACTGCCAGGAGTAATTCCTGAGCATCGCCGAGTGTGACCCAAAAAGAAGAAAAAAAAAACTGAAGAGGCTGGAGAAATTGAACAGCAGCCAACCTGGGTTCAACCCCAAATGCCCCATATGGCCAGCCAAGCCCTTCCAGGAGGGGTCCGAGAGTGTAGAGCCAGGGGTAAGCCCCAAGCACAGGTGGATGTGGCCCCCAAATCAACCAACCAACCAACCCCTGTGGGGTTGAGGGCCAGAGCGATGGCAAAGCAGGTAGGGCGCTTGCCTTGCATGCGGCCAACCCAGGTTCAATTCCTCGAACCTCCTGAGTCCCTCAAGCCAGCCAGGGAGTGACTCCTGAGCACAGAGCCGGGAGTAAGCATTGAGCTTCACTGGGCAAATCCTGTAGAGTCCCCCAACCTTGGATCTGGGCAGCACCTCTTCCACCCTGCGCCAGGCAGCCTGGCAAAGCCACTCAATCTGGCCACATCGGACCTTGCCTCCAGAGGACGCTCAACCCCACCCCTCGTTGGCACAGGTACCACCCCCCCACATATACACATACAACCCCTCCCATTCTAACATCATCTCTGCACAAGTGCCCGCGGCTGCTTTCCTACCAGACAGCTCCAAACTGGCACAGACAGGGGGATGGGGTGGCAGTTTCCATCTGGGGATCCTGCTCCCCCAAGGGGCTGGCTGGGGACTGAGGTGAACAGTGGAAACAATCTGAGTGTCCCCTCTGACCTGGATCCAAAGCCAAGAAGAGCCCAACTGGCCTCCGTGGCCCCAAGGGAAGCCTGGCAGGAACAGCACGTCCACCCAGTGGACAGTGAACTCTCTCCCTTAGGTCCTCCCTGCCACCCAGCAGAGCCTGGGGCAGCAGACAAAGGCAGGTCAAGGGCCCTAGGCTCACCCCTCCTGGCAAGTTTTTTTTTTTTTTGTGGGAGTCACTGACAGTCTGTGCTCAGGGCTCATTCCTAGACCCCGGCTCACTTGGGGGACCCTGTGGGATGCCGGGGATTGTACCCAGGCCAGCCGCGTGCTAGGCAAACACTGTCCCCACTGGACGATCACTTTGACTCCAGAATCGCATTGGATGAGGAAGGCAGCAAAGACCAGAGTACAGGTTGTTAGGGCACTGGCCTGTCATCTGACCCCTGGCACCACTAATGGTTACTGGGCACCACCTGGCATGACTCTTCCTGCTCCCCCATCACAAGTGCCAGAGTGTGTGTGGTTTTTTTTTTGGGGGGGGGGCCACACCCGGTGATGCTCAGAGGTCATTCCTGGCGATCTTCTGAGGACCATATGGGATGCAGTGAATCAAACCTGGTTCAGCTGCATCCAAGGCAAGCGCTGTACTATTGTAGCATAGCCCAGGCCCTGTCTGTTGGTGGTGCCAGGCCCGGGATCCTGTTGGGGGCTTCTGGAGGACCAGTAAACTGTTAAACCAGCAACAGGGTAATGATCCTCAGGGCCCCCCTCCTCATGCTCACTGTCCCTCTCCAGCCCCCAAGTATGGCCATCAAGACTTGATCAGCTTCACACGGCTGGTTCCCCTGTGTCCCAGAGCCCCTATCCTTCTGTCCAGCTGCACTGCCCACTTGATTTTTGGTTTGGGGGCAACCACTTCGGCGGTGCTCAGGACTTCTTGTCTGTTGCTCACTCTTAGTGGTGCTCAGGGGGCCCCTATGGGATGCTGGGAATCAAACCCGGGTTGGCTGCGTGCAAGGCAAGTGCCCACCTTCTGGTCTCTCTCAGACCCCACTGCCTGCAACAGAGCAGATGGGCAGCCCAGACCTCCCCAAGTTTGGGTTCCTCATAGCATCTCCCACCTGCTCCCTGCTGGGTCATTTTTCCAGCGGGGACTCAGGCCTCATCCCATTGGGGACCAAGGGAACCCCTGGAGGGTCCCACCTGGAGAAATCACCCCAAGCACAGGACACCTGTCAGCCCACGCATTCCATCCCCGATTTAGAGCCTGGCTGGGGGTGGGGAGACTGGCCCCATGAGCAAAAAAGGCAGGCAAGGGGCTGTGCTCGGTCTATATTCACACAGACACACACGGGCAGCTTGCAGCCGACAACACGGAGTAAGAAAAACCGCTTTAAATAATGGAAACAAAAAACAAAACAAAACAAAAAAAAAACAATGAAAACAAAACCCGGGCTCTTGGGTTCCCACGGGACCCTCAGATGGGTCCCTCAGTCTGGGGAGTACCAAAGCTGACGGGTTGGGGGGGCAGTTCCCGTCGGACGAAGCCCCCCGCCGCCACCGAGCGCAGGCTCGCTCACACGCACGCACGCACGCACGCACACGACCCGGACTCCCGCACGGGGATGGGTGGATTATTGCTGGGCACGTGTGTCTCGGGCGAAGAGGGGACTCTGGAATGTTCGACGGGGGGGGGGGGGGCGGCAGGGACGCCCTGGCCCCCGGACCCACACCCCCACCCCCCCTGCGGGGGCATCTCAGGAAGAGGCGCCTTGGGGACAAGGCCCAGCATGGGGGGGTGCAGGGGCGCCCTTTGGAGCTGGAAGGCGGAGGCCGACCCCCTGGGGAAGGCTGGCAGTGGGAGGGCTGGGAGGGGTGGGGCAGCCCCACTTCCGGTCCCACTTTGGCACAGGCCTTGGGGGGGGCTGCAGGGAGAGGTTGACAGAGGCGCCCCCCCTACCCCCACCCTGAATCCCCCCAGCTCCAGCAAGCGCTGAGAAGGGTCAGCAGGGGGGGCGGGGCCTGGAGTCCGGTGAGGCACAAGTGTCCAGCGGGGCAGGCACAGTGCTGGGCTCCAGGGGGTCAGGGCGACCTCGGACGGGGCCCCACCCCACCCAAGTCCCCCCCACTCCGCGGCCAAGCTCCAGGGCGAGGCCTGTGAACACCAAGAGGCGCTCGGCACATCGCTCTCCGTCCCTCTGTCCATCTGTCCGTCCGTCCCGGTCTAGTGCCGAGGGGCGCCCCTGTCCGGGCGGAGCTCAGAGCAGAAGACGCAGGCAGGGGCGGGGTGGGCAGCTGGGGGTAGGGGGAGCACACAGCTCCAGCCGGCCCCCCCTCCACCTCATTCCCCCTGTCCATGGGGGGGGAAAGGGGCCCGCGACGGGCGCGGGCCCCTGGGCACACCCCACCAGGGCCGACAGTGCGTGGCATCCCTGCCGTGGGGGTTGGGGGGGCGCTCAAGTCAGGGGGCTAGAGGCGGGTGGGGAGCTCGAGGTGGGTGGGGAGCTCGAGGCGGGGCGGGAGCTCTTCTTCGCTGTCGCTGCAGTTGGCACAGCAGTCCTGGGGAAAGGGGGGCAGGAGACAGTGGGGGTGGGGAGAAAGAAAAGGGGGGCGCACCCCGTTAGCCTGACGAAACACACAAAGCGGGGCGTAGGGTGGGCTGGCCCTTGTCCCCTGGGGGCTGTGGCAGCTGGGCTCGGGGTCCCTCAGCTAAGCCAGGTTAGCAGCTTGGAGGTGCCCAGGGTGGGGAAGGGGGCCGGGGGGGGGGGGGGCAGCGGGGGGGGGGGGGAGAAAGGGGGGTGGGCACCAGCCTTCTTCTGCCCATATCTCGCCTCTGCCATGGAAGGGCTGCACGGGGGTGGGGGGGCTCCCGTGGCCGGGCAGCAAGCCCACCCCACGGGGAATGTGGATGCGCTCACCTCTGGAAAGAGAAAACAGGCCATGAGCCCGGCCAGGGGCGGGGCGGGGCAGGGGTGGGGGTGGGGAGTTAGGGGGGCCAGCATCAACCGAGGCCACAGCACCCCCAGGCACAGCTGGAGGTCTCCCACCCTCTGTCCCCGGCAGCCAGGTGTGTGTGTGGGGGTTGGGGGGAAGGCCCCCCAAGGGAAACGGAAGGTGGGGGTTACCTGGCGGCTGAAGAGCCTCTGCAGCAGGCCCTTCTTGGGGGGCGCGGGCGGCAACCCTTTCCAATCCAGATCAGGGGGCACGGAGCCGTCCAGCCCGAAGACATTCAGCTCCTGGAAGCACTCGGTCTCCACCATCTGCACAGGGAAGACAGATGCGGCCCCGTCAGGGTGGGAGGGGACCAGGACAGCCCCCCTCCCCCCCACCCTGCCCTTACCACAAGGGTGCACCCCACCTCGTTCTGCCAGGGGATGGGCACGCTGCCCGTGGCGAACTTCTGGTAGAAGTCCTGGTCTGCGGGCTCCAGCTCCACGCCCTTCACTGTGGAGAACTGCTCAATGTCCAGGACGTCTTTGCAGTAGATGGCCTGAGGCTGCGGGGACAGCGGAGGGGGTGACAGTGTCAGGCAGCTCCCATGACAGACAGCACAGGCGGGACGCAGAGACAAGAGAGCTACAGATGCATACACAGATACCCCAGCAGAAAAGAACTGCACAGATCCACACAAGGGCAGACACGGTGTGTACACACACACACACACACACACACACACACACACACAGCAACAGAGCAACACAGCGATTTTTTGTTGTTGTTTTTTGGGGTCACACCAGGCAATGCTCAGGTACTACTCCTGGTGCTGCACTCAGGAATGACTCCTGGTATCAATGCCCAGGGGACCATATAGGATGCCAGGGATCGAACCTGGGTTGGCTGCAGGCAAGACAAATGCCCTACCTGCTGTACTATCCTTCCGGCCCCCAACAAAGAGAGATTTTGACTCACAGACACACAAAGACACTGACACACTGGGCCCAGAGCCACCACAACGGATAGGTAATTGCCTTGCATGTGGACAGCCTGCATTGGATCCTGACGCTCTGTATAGTGCCTTGAGCCCCGGGAGTCAGGAGTAAGCTGTAAGCACAGCCAAGTGTACCCCCCACCCCCACCCAAACAACAGTAAAAAATGATAATAGGGAGCTGGAGCAATAGTACAGTGGGGAGTGTGTTTGCTTTGTACGTGGCCGACCCAGGTTCGATCCTGGCATCCCATATGATTTCCTGAGCACTGACAGGAGTCATTCCTGAGTGCAAGCCAGGAGGAACCTCTGAGCATCACCAGGTGTGACCCAAAACCAAAACACAAACAAAATAATAAAATTTTAAAAGGCCACAGATACACACACAAGGAGATGCGCGCACACACAGATATAGACATACAGACATACAAGATACATACACGCACACGCGGATGTGTGCACTGATACAGCACACACACAACCCTCAGCAGCCTGTACACAAAGACAAACACAAAAAGACACACAGACAGGGACCAAAGCGCTGTGTGTAGTCCTGGCTGCCCGTAGTCCTGGTCCCCACAGTGGATAAGGTGCTTGCTTTGCACGCGGCCGACCCGGCTTCGATCCCTGGCATCCCACAGGGTCCACTGAGCACCGCCAGGTGTGAACCCTGAGCACAGAGCCAGAAGGACTAAGTTCTGAGTAATGCTGGGTGTGGCCCAAAAACCAAAACAAAAGAGGGGGAAAAAAAGGAGAGAAAGGCAGAAAAACACACCACACAGTTCCACAGATACACACACAGATACACACAGTTCCATAGACCCATGGACACAAAGGCCCCCATGCATAGGCCTCGGCCTGTCTAGTGTACCCATCTCTCCCTGAGGATTCTTCCCCTCGGCTGGGGATCCCCCTGACCCCCCCAATCCAGGAGGCTGCCTACAGGGCTCTGTTCCTCTCCCTCTGCATCTGAATTGGGGAACAGGGGCTGACTCTGGGCCCCTCCTGGGAAGGGCTGCCCGTAGTCCTGGTCCCCACAGGCCAGCCCCCAACAGGGGCCCCCAAAACACTCAGATTATCACCTGCTTTGGTTGGGGGGTCTACATCCAGCAGTGCTCAGGGCTTATTTATTTTTTCTGTTCTCAGGCCCCCACCTGGTTGGTACTCAGGGGTTATTCCCAACTCTGTGCTCAGTGATCACTCCTGGCAGGGTTCTGGGGACCCGATGGGGAGCCGGGGATCAAATCTGGGTTGCCTGCATGCAAGGCAAGCACCCTCCCTGCTGTACAATCACTTGGGCCCTCAAGGGCTTATTCCTGGCTCTGTGCTCAGGGATCAGACTTGGAGGACTGTATGGGGTACTGGGAGTCGAACCCCACCAGGAGTGGTCCCTGAGCACAGACTCAGGAGTATATGCCCTGAGCACTGGGTGTGGCCAAAATCAAAACAACGCATGTGGGTTTTTTGGGCTTTTTGGTTACACCCGGAGATGCTCAAGGCTGACTCTTGGCTCTGCACTCAGGGATCACTCCTGGAAGTGCTCAGGGGACACCGTGGGATGCCAGGGAGAATCCAACCTGGTTCAGCCACATGCAAGACAAACACCCTACCCACTGTCCGATGATGGCTCCAGCCCCTGTAAATGGGCTTTAAAGGAGTCTACTATCCAATATGGGCTGGAGCGATAGCACAGCGGGTAGGGCGTTTGCCTTGCACGCAGCCAACATGGCCGACCCGAGTTCGATTCCTCCTCCCCTCTCGGAGAGCCCGGCAAGCTACCGAGAGTATCTCGCCTGCACGGTGAAGCTCCCCGTGACGTATTCAACATACTAAACACAGTAACAAGTCTCACAATGTTACTGGGTCTACTCGCGCAAATCGATGAACAACGGGAGGACAGTGACAGTGACTGTGCCTATCCATTATGTGTATTGTTTATCAACAGAACTGGTAAAAACTGCTGTCATGGATTGGAAAGATTGTACAGGGTACGTCACTTGCCTTGCATGCATCGGACCCTAGTTTGATCCCCAGCACCACACATGGTCCCCTGAGCACCATCAGGAGTGACGCCTGAGCACAGAGCCAGGATTAACCCCTGAGCTGGGAATGGCCCCAACCCTTTAAGCCCAAGGCGGGTGGGGGAGAAATGACCAAGTTTTAGTTCCTAAAAGTTTTAATGTGGGACCTGGCGAGGGAGCAGTTCAGAGGGAAGGAGAATCTGATCTGGATATAGGAGCCCCAGGTTTGATCCACAACTCTGGATGGTCTCAAGCACTGCCAGGGTAACCCTCAACCAGGAATCCCCCAACACTACCAGAAGTGGCCCCAAAAGGGAAAAATAAATAAATCAAAGCCAGATAATGGGATAGCAAGTAGGCCCTTGCCTTACACACGGTGGACGTGGGTTCAATCCCTAGTACCCCATAGGGTCCCCGGAGCCTCACCAGGAGTGATCCCTGAGCACAGAGCCAGGAGTTAGCCCTGGGCACCACCAGATGTGACCCCTCAAGCCAAAATAATAAAAGCAATAGTGGGGCTGGAGTGATAGTACAGCAGGGAGGGTGTTTGCCTTGCACACGGCTGACCCGGGTTCTATCCCCAGCATCCCATAGGGTCCCCCGAGCACTGCCAGGAGTCATTCCTGAGTGCAGAGCCAGGAGTCACCCCTGAGCATCGCTGGATGTGACCCAAAAAGCAAAAAAAACAAACAAAAAATTTTAATAAAAGCAATAGTAAAATTTTTATTCCCTTTCCTTTTTTTTCTTTTTTTTTAATCATTGCAACAATAACCTATATCACACACTCTTGTTGCACCAGGGATGTCAAACAAGAGTGCCACCAAGATGGAACTGAGCAGAGGGGATGGTTCCAGGGCACAAGCCCTCGACCTTATGTCTGCCAGGCAGGGTCTCACCACTGGATCCTCTCAGGCACTCTAGTCAATTTTCTCTTTTTCTTTATTATTATTATTATTATTATTATTATTATTATTTTCTGTCTAACGTTCATTGATTTAAAGAAGGCCTTTGATTCTGTTGAGACGGAAGCGGTCATGGAAGCCCTAGCCAATCAGGGCGTACAAACTCAATACATCAGGATCCTTCGTGAGCTCTATTGCGGATTCACTACCAAGATCTCACCATTCTACAAAGAAGTAATCATCCATATCAAGAGAGGGGTTCGGCAGGGTGATACCATTTCACCAAAACTCTTCAGTGCCACCCTCGAGAACATCATGCGACGACTAGAATGGGAAAACATGGGAGTGAAGATAGATGGTCGGCAACTACACCACCTCCGCTTTGCTGATGACATCGTTCTAATAACACCAAACATCAGCCAAGCGGCACAAATGCTGGCTGACTTTGACCGTGAGTGTGGAAAGGTAGGACTACAGCTGAATCTTACGAAGACAATGTTTATGAGAAACAGCCTTGTTCCTGACGCTCCATTCGCTCTCAACGGAACCACCATCTCCGAATGCAACAGTTATATATGCCTAGGTCGAGAAATCAACATGATGAATGACCTGGCACCTGAGTTGCGCAGGAGGAAGAGAGCGGCTTGGAATGCCTTCAAGAGCATTGAAGAAATAACTAAAAGGACAAAGAACCTCCAGCTACGAGCACATCTCTTTGATTCCACTATTCTTCCTGCATTAACATATGCCTCAGAGACCTGGACCCTACGAAAACAGGATGAGAACGCTATTCGGGTCTCTCAAAGAGGAATCGAAAGAACTATGCTTGGAATATCTCGATTCACTCAAATGAGAGATAGAATCCGGAGTTCTGATCTTCGTCAACGCTCAAGAATCAGGGACGCTGTCTCATTTGCCAAGACATCAAAAATCAGATGGGCTGGACACGTAATGAGGTTTACAGACAACCGCTGGACTAGAGTCATTACTGATTGGATTCCACGGGACATCAAAAGATCACGTGGACGCCCACCTATAAGATGGTCAGACTTCTTCATCAAGACCCTAAATGATCGGTTTGAGGCTCTGCATGTTCCTAGAACAAACAGATACCATTGGGCTACGCTAGCACGCAACCGGGATGAATGGAGACGTTACTGGCACCCGCTCGAATAAATCGATGAATAAAGTAAAGTAAAGTAAAGGCCCTCCCGTTGATCGTCGATTTGCTCGAGCGGGCCCAGTAACGTCTCCATTGGAGACTTTGTTGTTACTGTGTCTGGCATATCGAATACTCTCGGTAGCTTGCCGGGCTCTCCGAGAGGGGCGGAGGAATCGAACTCGGGTCGGCCATGTTGGCCACGTGTAAGGCGAACGCCCTACCCGCTGTGCTAATAATGGGGATTAAGTGATTAAGTGATTATTATTTTAATTAAAAACAGATTTGATGTGGAGGTTTCAGGAAGGGGAAGGTGGGGGCAAAAGAGTAATGCACTCAAGAGAGACCATGGGCTTCCCCGAGGTCACAGAGACCCCTCCACACACCCCAGCATTAGATATGGAAGCAGGAAAGTCCCCATTTCCAGAGGAGAGATTCGGGCGCCACATGTGCCCGGCCACGTGGGCACAAGCAGCACATGGGCTCGGGTAGCATATGCGCCTCTAACCGGTTTGCTAACATTTTTATTAGGGGTTTATTAGGCACACCCAGCGGTGCACGGGGCTCCCTCCTGGCAGGGCTAGGCGGTGGTGGGGATTGAACTGGGGTCAGCTCCATGCAAGGCAAGTGCCCTTCCTTCAAGGTTACTTCTCGGGTCTCTGATCTTGCAAACCTTTTCCCTTTTCTAACTTGGGGCCAGTGGGATGACGTCTAGGTGAAATGACAAGTAGGGGGGAATAAAATGGGCAGGAGTTCACTTTGGGGCAGCGGCGACAGTCCCAGAAGGGAAGGTGACTCTGGATGCGGGTTGAACTGCCGCCGCGCCCCCCCCCCCCGCCCCCCGCACACTGCTCCCAACAGGGGTGCGGCCACCACACCCACCATTTAAAAGCAATAGTGGCACCTTTGCTGGGTAACCTCAAGAGCCACCCCCCCGCCCCACTCCTACTGGACACTCCCGAAAGACCTTGTCACCCCGAGACTTTGACCTCAACCTTCTCCACTCCTGTCTCCTTGCTCGAGTCGAGGCGCCCTGCCAGGCCCTCCACGCCTTCCCCCTCCTGGGTATGCTCACACCCTACTTTTTGGCACGGCTCTTCACATAGCTGAGGTCCCTCGGGGACCATCCCATCTAAAAATACCCTCTTCATTCATCTCCCCCCTTCCCTGCCCTTTTGCTGATGTTCTTATTGCCATGACTGAGAGCGGGGGCCGGGGGCAGGGGGGGTCCCTCCCACCTCTGCCTGCATACACCAGGGCCTGCTGTTTGCCGGGGGTAGGGGGGGCACACCCCTCAAAATTTGATGCTCACCTACATTCTGGGTTGAGTATTCACTGGGGCCGCCTGTCCTAGCCAGGGGGGCTCAAGTGGCTTTTAGTCATGTGGTTGCAGGGAGGGGGGTTGTCATACTCTTTTCAGCTGGGGTGCCCGTACACACGGCCAGGAATGCCTTGAAGGGGCCAAGGGTCCCAGACAGAAGCACAGACAGGGGTCCCGGGCATCCAACTAAGGCTAGAGCCAGGTTCTGAGCCCAAGCTCTGCATGCAAGAGGCCTGGATTCCATCTCCGGCACTGAGGGATCCCTTGTACCCCACTGCAAGTGACCTCCTGAACAGAGCTGAAAGTGGCTTCCAAATTCCCCAGACTCCAAAGAAAACCTCACAGCCTTGGGCCAAAGACACAGGACAGGGGCTGGAGCAATAGCACAGCGGGTATGGCATTTGCCTTGCACGCAGCTGACTCGGGTTCGATTCCCAGCATCCCACAGGGTCCCCTGAGCACCGCCAGGAGTAATTCCTGAGTGTAGAACCAGGAGTAATGCCTGACCATCGCCAGGTGTGACTCAAAAAAAGTGCGCGCACACACACACACACACACACACACACACAAAGACACAGGATGGGGGAAAGGCACTTGCTGTGCACGAGGGGAACCAGGCACCACACAGGGCCCCACAAGCACCACTAGGTGTGATCCCTGAGCACAGAGACAGGAGTCAGCCCTGAACACTGCCAGATGTGGTCAAGCAACAATCACCCACTTGCAGCCTCGAGTTTGCAAGGCTGTGTGCGGTCAACTATTCGTTCCTCTATGCCCCTTAACTTGCTCTATACCTCTAATTCTTTTTTTTGGGGGGGGGAGAACAACACACAGCAATGCTCAGGGCCGACTCCTAGTTCTGTGCTGATGGATTGCTTCTGAGGGGACCATACGGGGTTCAAACACTCACGTCGGGTTTGAAGGGAGGTTCCAACATGCCTGCTCCCAGCCGCTTGAAGTTCAGCTTCTTGAAGAGGGGGTGTTCCTTCACCTCGCGGGCGCCGCCCCCGCGACAGCCCAGGCGCTCGCCAGGGTCCTTACAGAGGAGCTGTGGCAGGGCAAGGTGCCTGTCAGTAGGGCCCCCAGCCCAGGGCAGAGGTGCCCCCCATTGGAGTGGATGAGGGAGGGGCAGCTAGTCAGGGTGGGCGGGGCTTCACCACTGCATGGGAAATCAGGAGTGGTGGGTGAGGCTTTAATTGGTGGGGGGGGCGGAGCGACAGCACAGCGGCGAGGTCGTTTGCCTTGCATGCAGCCTCAGGTTCGATCCCTGGCATCCCTTAGGTTCCCCAGGAAACTGCCAGGAGTCATTCCTGAGTGCAGAGGTAGAAGTAACCCCTGAGCATCGGTGGGTATGACCCAAAAGGCCAAAAAATATACAAATAAATAAATAAACAAATTGGTAGGCGGGGCTCCACACGGGAAATCTGCTGTGGTGGGCAGGGATTCATGACAGTGCAAGGGGCTTTTAAGATGCTGGGCATGGCTTTGATGTAGTGGGCGGGGATACACAACTGGGTGGGGAAATCTCCTGCAGTGGGTGGGGCTTTAGTAGGATGGGTGGGGCGCTAGGGTGGTGGGAGGGGCTCCGCGAGTGGTGGGCGGGGCTAACCTGGGAACAGAGGGAGCGGGCCAAGGGTGAGAAGTGCTCCGAGTACTCCTCGGTCACTTCCTTCACCAGCCGCTCCACCTCCTCCCTCTTGATTTTCTTCTTCCTCTGCTGAAAGGGCGACTGGCCGGCGATCATCTCGTACAGCAGGCAGCCCAGCGCCCACCAGTCGGGGCTGAAGGTGTACCGCTCATTCTTGACCACCTCCGGAGCTGGGAGAGGGGGGTGGTCATGGCACCGGGGTCAGGAGGGGCCCACCCTGGGCTGGAGCGATAGCACAGAGGAGAGGGCGTTTGCCTTGCACATACCCGACCCAGGTTCGATCCCCAGCATTCCATAGGGTCCCCCGGGCACCGCCAGGAGTAATTCCTAAGTGCAGAGCCAGGAGTAACCTCTGAGCATTGCCGGGTGTGACCCAAAAAATAAAAAAGAGGGGGCCTTTTACCCAGGTTCAGAACCCCTAAGACGGTGCTCAGCAAGAAACATATTTGCAGGGGTAGAGGGGAAGGGAGATCATATGATGTACCACAGGTTTGGGTCACACCCCAGTGGTATTTCAGGAAACATGTAAATCAAACCGAGGTCACTGCACTCAGGGCAGCAAAGGAACTGAACCCCAGTATTATCTCTGTGATCTGTAACCTGCCTTTCTTCCTGGTTTTTGAGTTTTTTGTTGTTGTTTTTGGATTTTGGACCGATCACAATCACGATCATCCTGTTGTTCGTCGATTGCCTTGAGCAGGCCCCAGTAACGTCTATTCGTCCTAGCCCTGAGATTTTGGACCAGGCAAGAATAATTCCCGGTTGGCTCTGTGCATAGGATTTACTTCTGGCGGTGCTCAGAGGACCATAGATGTCGGGGATACAACCCGAGTCAGCTGCATGCAAGGCAAATGCCCTCCCTGCTGTACTATCTCTCTAGCCCCCTTCCTTCCTGTTTCTGGGTACACCCTAGTGCTCAAGAGTTGCTTCCAGTGGTGCTCAGGGGACCAGGAGGTGCCAGGAATGATACGTCCCCCATGCCAAGCCTCTGCTAAGCTCCTTGAGCTAATACTCCAGCCCAGTTCCCTGGTTTCACTTCTATTAATAAATAAATAACTAAATCTTTGTTTTGGTTTTGTTTGGAGCCACCCCCAGCCGCGCTCAGGAACTTACTCCTGACTCTGGGCTCAGGAATCACTCCTGGTGGGACTCAGGGGACCCTATGAGGTGCCAGGGATCGTATCTTGGGTGGGCTCTGTGCAAGGCAAACTGCCCTATCTGCTGTACTATCGCTCCAGCCCCAGCACCCCAAATTCTCAAAGAAGAAGAACACTTCCTGCTTGTTCCCCAGAGCACAGGAGACTCCAGGCAGAAGGGGAAGAAGAATCTGGGCGGACTGGAAATGGGCTGGCAGAGGGGGGACTCACCCATGTAACCCACAGTGCCCACGCGGCCCTTGATGGTCTGGCCCTCAGGCACATGCACAGCCAGGCCCAAGTCAGAAATACGGATGTGCCCTAGAGGTGAGGGGAGAATCCAGGATCCAAATAAGCTAGTGAACTAGACGCCCCCCAACCTCCCTCCCTGCCCCACCCCACATGGGGGCCCCACCCACCGTGGTCATCCAACAGAATATTCTCTGGCTTCAGGTCCCTGCAGGAGAGAAGGAAGGGTCAGCAGAAGCCCAGTCCACTAGGGAGGCGGATGGGGTCACCCCCCCCCCAGCTCGCTTTCTGGGTAAGGGTATGGAATGAGGGGTGCAGATGGGGCCCACAGATGCCCCTCTGCCAGAAGTCAAGACTTGAGAGTGCAGGGGCTGGAGCAATAGCACAGCAGGTAGGGTGTTTGCCTTGCACACGGCTGACCCAGGTTCGATTCCCAACATCCCATATGGTCCCCCGAGCACCGCCAGGAGTGATTCCTGAGTATATGAACCAGGCGTAACTCCTGTGTATTGCCGGGTGTGACCCAACAAATCAAAAAAAAAAAAAAAAAAACTTGAGAGTGCAAAGAAGGACCTGGGGGGCAAATGGGGGAGCACATGCCATGGGGAGGGACCGGACCAAGCCCTCCTCCCCATGGGCCAGCCCTTCCCAGCTTGGGTGGCTGCTGTCACATTCCCATCTGTCCAATGGGGCCAACCAAATCCATTCTCCTCCTGAGGCTGGGTGGGGCACAAATGAAATTAGCCAGGGGTAGTCCTTGGCATGCACAAGGCTGGGAGCTGGATCCTGAGCACTACTGAGCATTGCCTGGTAGGCCCTGAACAAGGCCCCCGCTCCCCCACCCCCCCACCTCTGGGAGGCCAAGCTATCAGGAGTCACCCTGCACCCCCAAACACAGCTGGACCTAGCCCCCAGAATCACAACAAATACATTAGGGGAAAAAAAATCATTCTCACAAGGATTGAGAAGATAGAGCTTAAAGTGGAAATGTACATCGGGCAGGCAGAGAAGCTCAGATTTGATGTTCGGGTACCCCGTGACCTCTCTGGCACCACTGGGCATAGCCCTGGATGCCTCCAGCACCCCAGACCCAAGCCCATGAACAAAAAGACCCACACCACAAGAAGGAGCTTTTCTTTGGTGCCACAGATCAAACCCTTGGTCTCGTGAATGTCAGGCACATGGTCACTGTCACTGTCACTGTCCTCCCATTGTTCATCGGTTTGCTCCAGTGGGCCCAGTAACATTGTGAAACTTGTTACTGTGTTTTGGCATATCGAATACGTCACGGGGAGCTTGCCAGTCTTTGCCGTGCAGGCAAGAAACTCTTGGTAGCTTGCCGGGCTCTCCAAGAGGGGCGGAGGAATCGAACTCAGGTTGGCTGAGTCAGCTGCATGCAAGGCAACCACCCTACCCGCTGTGCTATCTCTCCAGCCCTGGTACATGATTTAATATTATTAAAGTGCCATCAACATATTTGCTCATAGAACCCCCATAAACTGTAAGTCAGGAAATCTCCTGGGGTTCCCAGAGTTGAGAACAGGAAGTGGGCATCGCCTGAGGTCCCACACAGAGGGGACATTTCCCACCATGCCCAGTGTACAGGTGTGTGTCAGAGCACCCCCACCAACCACTGCACACACAGTCTCACTCTCACACTCTCACACACACACTCTCTCTCTCTCTCTCTCTCTCCCCCCCCCCAGGTGCCCGCCTACCTGTATACTATGCGTTCCCGATGCAGGTCCTCAAGGCCACAGCAGATCTCGGCGGCGTAGAAGACTGCTCGGGCCTCGGTGAAGCCGGCCTGGCCCATGTGGTAGATATGAAACTTAAGGTCCCCGCCGTTCATCAGCGTCAGCACCAGACACAGTGCGTCCTTGGTCTCGTAGGCGTAGGCCAGGCTCACCTATGGATGGCCAAGGGGACCCAAGCCTTCAGGCAGGGGGGTCAAGGTCTGCCTGGTGGCAGCCGGCCAGCCACCCGGAAGAATCCTTCAAGCCCAGCTTCTTAGCCAGGCCTGGGACCAAGGGCCTCGGGCATCTCCGAGGGGTGGGCGGGGCTTGAACCAGGGGGCGGGGCGAGGCTTGAACCAAGGGGCGTGGAGGGAATGAGCCAATGGGAGGCAGGGGGCGGGGTCTCCTGGATGTACTTACTACAAACCTACTGTTCACTTTCTCCAGGATCTGTTTCTCGTTGAGCGCCATGGCCTCCCCCTTCCGCTTCTTGATCCGTTTCTTTTCGAGTTTCTTGCAGGCATACATCTTGCCCGTGGCCCGCACCTGGCAGGCGCAGACCTGGAACCAGGGCAAAGGGGGCCGGGGAGATGATTCGTGTGGCGGAGCATGACAAGTGCGTACGTGTGCGTGCACGCGTGTGTGTGTGTGCGTGTGTGTGTGTGTGTGTGCGTGTGTGTGGCTTCCAGGCTTCAGAGGGAACAAGGGGACCAGGACATGTGCATGTATGTATGTCTGTGTGTCTGTCTTCCAGGGGCAAAGGGGGCCAGGGAGATGGTTCATGTGGCAGAGCATGACAGGTGTGTGTATGCATGTGTGTGTGTGCGCATGTGCGTGTGGCTTCCGGGGCTTCAGAGGGGCAATTCCCACCCCCCCCAGCCACCCTTCATCCACCCACTCACCACTCACCTCCCCAAAGCCGCCTTTGCCCAGGACTCGGTATTGCCTGAAGGTATTTTTGGTCACCGGCTGCCTATAGGCAAGGGGGTTAGGGAACAAAGAGAGGTGGGGGAGGGGCTGAGCAGGCCCACACCCCCCCCCCACCCTGCCCTATCAGGGCCCCAGCCACCCCTCCTCAGCAAGGGTCTCACCTTTCCAGCCATTTCCACTGCAGGAAACGATTGAAGTAGATGCTGTCGAGGTAGTCGGCAAAGGGGGCCATGCTCAAGAACTCATGGGTGAGCCTGTGACAGGTTCTGGCTAAGCCCCAGGTTCCCAGGGTCCGAGGCCAGGCACCCCCTACTCCCACCCTGGGTGCCTGCCTAGTCCGGAAGGCCTCACTCACCCTGGGGCCACCCCTCTGCCCGGGCCTTCCACCTCATACTGCTGCGGCGACAGCCACCGCCCAGAGAAGGCAAATCACCTGGCCGGGGACACACAGCAGAGCAAGCCCCCCAAGGGGGCGGCTTGGGGCCTGTTCTGGGAAGCCTGGTGGACCCAAGGGGCAGCAGGGAGGGTGGGAGGTGGCACACGCTTACCGGGTGAGCTCCTGGAAGAGGTCTTTGCAAGGCCCCTGTTCCAGCCGCTGGGTACAGGTTGTCACCAGCTGCCGGGGAACCTCTGGGATGAGGTCAGGACCCTGGGGACGGGGCACGGACGGGTCAGGGCAGGGGGTATTTTCAGGGGCTGGCGGGCTCCCCCCACCCCCGCACTGTGGTTACTGCATCTGCAGTCACCCCTCTCCCCAGCCCGGAGCCTGCCCCCTGCGGCCACTGTCACCACCAGCAGCCACTTAGTGGCTCTCTCACCGTGTGGCTCAGAAAATTCTGTATCAGCCGCCGCCCACACGCCTTCCGCTTCTCGTCAGGAGTCACCTCATACTCGGCCTGCAGGGTGGGGGGAGGCCAAGGCAGAGGGTTGAGAGGGTTGAGGGCCTGGTGCCGGGGGGCGGGGGCAGCGCTGGCCCGAGGGGCAGGGTTGGGGGCGACGGGGTCAGAGGTGGAAGGGAGGTGCCGGGTCTCGGCCCGCCTGGCACTCACCACCCCGTCCAGGAAGGCGATGCAGTGGGTCAGCTCGGGCCGGGTGGCACAGAACTCCCGGAAGAGCAGGCGCCCGATGGGCTGGCGCTCACACAGGCTGTGGTAATCATGTTCTGTGCAAGGAGGGGGCAGAGGTAGGGGGTGCTGGGTGCCCAGGGCAGTCCCAGCTAGACCCTTCCTAGCCTTGAGGTGGGCAGCAGCTGCAGTGGGAGAGGAACTTGGCATTCGGCGGCCCAGAGATGGCAAGTAATGAGCCCGAGGTCACACAGCTTTGGAGTCTCAGTGGAGCCCCACCATGCCACGCCCCTCCCCTTCCCTCCCTGCCACTTTCGCTGGGTTCTCGGGGTTCTGACTCCCATCCAAGCTAGAGCTGGGTGCTGTGCGGCCACCTGCTGCTGTCTGGCAGGCTAGGAAATCAGGGAGGAAACTGTGGCTTCCGGGGAACACCGGCCCGGCCTCCTTCCCAGGCAGGGCCCCAGGCGCAGGTGCAAAGGGCCTGGGATCCTTCCTCCCCTCTCAGAGAACCTGTCATGGTATCTGTGCTGAGGGGGGCCCCCCCAGCCCCAGCTCCAGGGCTGAATCAGAAGTGGGGACCCCAAGGCAATGCATCTGGGGGTGTCCCCAGCATCTCCACTGCCTCCTGCTATCCCGGAGGCCGGGCTCAGCCACCAGAGGCCTGACTAGTCCCTTTCTTGACATCTCACAGACGTTGCCCCAGGGGTCAGGGTGATAGTACAACGGGGAAGACATTTGCCTTGCGCACGGCCAACCCCAGGTTCGATCCCTAGCATCCCACAGAGTCCCCCGAGCACTGCCAGGAATAATTCCTGAGTGCAGAGCTCAGTAATTCCTCTGAGCATCGGTAGGTGTGACTCAAAAAGCCAAAAAAAAAAAAAAAAAGAGAAGAAGAAGAAGCTCCCCGTGACATATTCGATATGCAAAACACAGTAACAAGTTTCACAATGTTACAGGACCCACTCGAGCAAATCGATGAACAACGGGAGAATAGTGATAGTGATAGTGCCCCAAATTTGGGGTCAAAGAGAGAGTACATGAAAGGGCGTCTGCCTTGCATGCCACCAACCCGAGTTCAATCCCCGGCCTCCAATAAGGTCACCATGGGAACACGACTAGGAGTGATCCCTGAGCAGAGCCAAGAGTGACCCTTGAGGAGGGCTGGAGTGATAGCACAGCAGGTAGGACGTTTGCCTTGCACGCGGCCGACCCGGGTTCGATTCCCAGCATCCCATAGGGTCCCCTGAGCACCGCCAGGAGTAATTCCTGAGTGCAGAGCCAGGAGGAACCTCTGTGAATCGCCAGGTGTGACCCAAAAAGAAAAAAAAAAAGACCCTTGAGCATCACTGGGTGTGGGCCCCCCGCCAATGATATATCTCCCCCTCCCCACCAGGTCCCCTGTTCCCTCTGCCAAGTCTAGAAACAGAACTGGGAGTGAATGAAGTCTTTCTGCCCTCGCCCTGGGATGGGGGTCTCCCATGCCCCCTAATCTCTGCCCCAGGCCTCACCTAGGTGCAGCCGCAGCTCCTCGCACTGGCTAATGTGAGGGAACTGGAGCATCTGCCGCCATTTCTTGCTCTTGCCTTTTCGGGTACCGCCACCGCCTGTGGGAACAAAGGGCAGAGGCTGTGGGGTCCCCGTGCCACCCGGCCTGGGGACACCCCAGTCACGCTTCAGGGGGTCACTCTCGTGGGTGGGCTGGGGATGGAACTCTGGGCCTCGCACACGGCCCAACACCAGCTTTGACCCTCCGAACCCCTTTCCCTGGGCCCAACCTTGCAGCCCGTGACTCTCGGTGAGGTTCAGAGGGCGGTGGGTTTGGGGTGGGCCTTCCCTCCACAGAATCTGCCTCTTTGGCTTCTTTTGAATTTTTTTTTTCTTTTGGCAGTGTTCCTACTCAGCAGTGCTCAGGGGTTACTCCTGGCTCTGCACTCAAGAATTACTCCAAGGGCCTGAAGCAATAGCATAGCGGGTAGGGCGTTTGCTTTGCACACGGCCAACCTGGGTTTGATTCCCAGCATCCCATAGGGTCCCGAGCACCGCCAGGAGTTATTCCTGAGTGCATGAGCCAGGAGTAACCCCTGTGCATCACCGGGTGTGACCCCAAAGAGCAAAAGAAAAAAAATTACTCCTAGAGGTGCTCGGAGGACCCTATGGGGATCAAACCCAGGTCACAAGGCGAGTGTCTTACTGGCTGGACTATGCTCCAGTGCCTCTCTAGGTTCTAAAACACAGACACTGGGCCGGAGCGGGAGTACAGAGAGGAGGGCACTTGCCTTGCCTGCGTCCAGCACTGGTTCAATCCCTGGCACCCCGCCAGGAGTGTTCTCCAAGTGCCCAGGCCTGAAGGAAGCCCAGAGCACAAGAGTGACACCCCCCCCAAAAAAAAAAACTTGAAAATAAATGGAATAGACTAGATCCTGGCAGTGTCCAGGCCCTTATTGGCCAGGCATTGCCTGCCTCAGAGACGTCAGAGATGATGAGACGGGGTGGCACTAAAGCCGCCATTCAGGAGGCTGCCTGCACCCAAAGGTTCCCCTGGGTCTACCGCTTGCCTCAGTTTACCTGACACAACACCCCGCTGCTGGGGAGCTGCGGAACACCCAGTTCCCAGCTCAAATACCGCCCAGAGCCAGATAGAAATGGTGAATGGGGTCAGAGGTGAGTGATAGGGAGTGGTGGGGAGTGCAGCCAAGTGGCCCAGGCAGGCACCGGCCCACCAAATGCTCGCCCAGTGTCAGGCTATGTACTGCCCACGGTGACCAGTGCTCCTGATTACTCAGAGGCAGCTGGGGAAGCCCACCTGTCCTCTGATCTCCCAGGGCGAGGGATAGGGCGGCTGGCAGAATCAGCAGGGCATGCACCCAGCCTGCTGGAAGGTCCCAGTTCCATCCCTGCCACCACATGGCCCTGGTTGGGGGGAGGGGCGGGGGTGGTCCCTGAGCACTGCCAGGCCTGGGTCCCACTGGGAGAGACCCCTGTTAGAGAGACCAAGGCAGAAAACACACAGGCGCACCCACAAACAAGACGCGTGAGAGTCTGGCCGGATGTGGCCCCCAGGTAGAGACTGGAAACTCAAAAAGCCTGGGTTTGAACTTCCGGTTCTCATCACCGACTTCTCAACAAGGGTGATTTCTCCAGAACGACTTCAAGCCACCACGAGAGGTGCAGAGAGGGCACAGAAGCCCATCAGTACCGCTCTCGGTGGGGGTGGCGGTGAGGTTGTGGAGTCAGGGAGGGGTCCAGGCCCCAGCTCCCACCACTTGGTGGCTGCAGATAACCATTCTCTCTCTCTCTCTCTCTCTCTCCTTGGTCTGGCCTCAGTTTCCCCTCAGGTTTCCGCCGCCCAGTTTCCATGTGATCTTGAGTGAAAGCTGGGTGGGGGTTGGGGAGGCGAAGGCCCAGCTATGGGGATCTAAGTAACCAGGGGGAGGAAGTAGACCCCATTGGGCAACCTCTCTGCAGCCCCCTTCCCCAGCCCCTCCCCCCCAGAGCCGGTGCCCCACACCCGGCATTGCTTCACTGGCAAGTGAGCAACAGAATCACTCCTCAGCTGGGGTTATGGCCCCACCAGAAGGGGAACTCCTCTCCTGCCCCCGCACATCCCTCCCCCCCCTTCATCCGCTGCTGCACCCCCCCAACCCCCCCTCCACGCGGCTACTTCCTCCTCTCTCTCCTCCCAGACCACATCAAGGCAAGTCCGACTCACATGCAAATTGCCCATCGCCCCTAGCTGGGCTCACCCCCTGCCCCGATCTCGGCTACACCCAGACAGACCCGGGTCCCACATGGGTCCCGAAAGGAGGTTCCGCCACATAAGCAATCCCTGGGTTCCAGGAACAGCAGAGAGAGCTTGGGAGGTGACAGAGCCAGACGGGAACTCAGTTGGCGGGGCTCAACCCTGCTCCTGAGCCAACATCCCCACGCTGGGCATCTCTTAGATGCCAACGGCCACCCAGTCTTTCCAAACACCAGCAGCCAGAACGCTCGGGAAAGGCTGGAGGGAGGCAGCCAACGCCAGTGCCCAGGACTCGGTGATACACTGAGATCCTGCAATTCTCACTCCGCACGACCAGCTGACGCGCAGAGTGGTCTGTCTTGTGGTGTGCAGCTGGGAGGGACGGAACCCAGGGTCCCAGTCTCACTGTATCACTGGCCCCTCCCCAAGACACACACACAAACGCACACACGCACACACTAGTCAGTCCCTTGCCCGTGGCTGAAGGCGGCTGCCCACACTTCAGCGTCATCTCTGCAGACCTGAGGCTGAACTCGCTGCTGCCCTGCCTGGCTCTCCCCACCCCTCCTCCCTGGCAGGCCGGATGACGAGGCAGAACACAATCATGGGGAGATGCCCCCAGACAGAGGCTGGCAGAACAGCAGATAAAGGAGGTTCCGCATGAAGAAACGTAAGGCGGGGGTCACTTAGAAAGGCACCCGGAGAGCACCCCAGTCCCAGAGTTTGTACGGGGGGGCCCCAGGTTCTTCTACGATTCCTCGAGACCTGTGTGGCAGGCAGCCCACGAGAGCAGTGCCCCTCCCCCCACCCGAGCCTTAGTTTCCCACCTGTGAAATGGGCCTCGAGCAGCAGCTCTCCACTAGAATGGGGAAACGCTCCTGGGCCCCACTCTGAGCATTCCCATAAGACTGGGTCCGAGCCCCTGGCGAGGATGAGACCCAGCTAGACAGACAGAGAGGGGCAAGGGCAGAGGGAGGCAGGACGGCCAAGCCCTGGAGGGTCGGCCACCGGGCTGGGAGGCGGATCCCACAGTGGGTGGGACCCGGGAGCAATCGGACAACCCAGATACCCAAACCCTGGGGCCAAGGCGGCCACGCGGGCCTTCAAAGCTCGGCTCTCCCTTAACTTCCCTGCCGGGGCGCCCCACTTGTGGGTTTCCAGGGGCCAAAACGGTGACTCATTCGCCTCTGTCCCCAGTGCTCCAAGGCAACCGGCAAGGGGCTTCGGTATGGTCTGGTATCTATGATGGGTGTTGGTGCGCGGGGGATTCCCTTCCATTCATTCTCCAAACCGTCCCCCAGCACCAACTTTGCGCCTGGTCCGGCCGGGCTCCCGGGCACGTGTTGCAGAGTGACCCGTTCCGGGGGGTGGGTGGTGAGGGCCTCCCTGCGGCGGGGAGCCGCTCCCCTGGCTCACGTCCCACCCTACCCTCTTCCTTCCTCTCGGCCTCTCTCACCCTTCGCGCACCGCACTCCCCCCCCCAACCCCGTCCGCCAGCCCGCCCCGAGGGCGGAGGCCTGACCCCCGCCCCTTCCTGGGCCCCGGCTCCCCGGGGCAGGTGCGGAGGAGGCGGCCAGGGGTGGAAGGTGTGGGGGGTGGGGGGGTGGGAGAGGCCCGAAAGGGCTCGTGCGGGCACGGGGTGGTGCCGCGCTCGGGGCGCCCCGCGTGGCCCGCACCCGGCAGCCTCACCTTCCCGGGCCTTGAGTAGCACCGTGTTCGCTACGATGTTCTCGAGCTCCATGGGCTGCGGCGCCACCGGCCCCGCGCCGGACAGCGCCGCCGGCCGGGATCGCGAGCGAGGGCCGCGGGGGCCGGATGGCGATCGGCGCGGCTCGGCTCGGCTCGCAGTGACCGCGCCGCGGCCTCCCCGGCCTCCGGGTCCGGCCGCCGCCGCCGCCGCCGCCGCCGCCGCCCGCGGTGCTCTCCCCGCCTCCTCCCCGGGGGCCACCCCGGTTCTGTCCACGCCCCCTTCACGCCCACTGTTTACTTTGCTCGACCAATAAGCAGAAGGGTGCTCCCCGCGCCGCCTTTCCATTCGCCAGCGGCTTCCGAGGTCCCCGCCCCCCGACCACGGGATTGGCCCAAAGACGTATGGAAGCGGGACATCTACGTCATCTCTTCCTGGTTGGCCTGCGGGTGCGGCTCAGCCCCCGGGTTCGAATTTCTGGACCGTGATAGGAGAACGAAGTGCCAATTAGGGCCGAGCCCTCCGCTGGGGCTGCGGAGGTGGGGCGTCTAAAGTCACGCCTTGGAGTCGAGCTGTTTGATTGGATGCTGGAAGCGTCAGTTATGTCCAGCCCTGCACTCTGATTGGAGCATCGTATGGGAGTGTGGACCTGGTCCTAGTAGCTCGCCTTTGCTTTTCTAGGGTTTGTAGGGGACGCACTTAATATCGTAGGCCTCCAGTGGGCGGGCCGCGCTTTCTTGGGTCCTGGATCCGGCCGTTTTCCTCTGCGTTGGCCCATCCGTAAAGGCCCATCCGTGAACTCCCCTGGGAGCGGGAAGAGGCCCAGAGTTACCGGTCACCTCCCCAGCTGCTCGCGGGTCTCCGACCCGGCCGCCTTGGGCATCCCCTGCTTCGCCCCCGCAGCAGGATGTTATGATTTCTCTCCACCCATACGGCCTTGCTCGCCCTGGGCCTCCTGCTACCTTATAAGGCAGCGCTCTTACCAGGGACTGGCTCACACCCATTATACAGGTGAACAGCTGAGGTCCTGTAGCTGGCTCCGGGCCGGAAGACTAGAGAAGAATCCTGGGCTGACATTGTGAGGCTAATCAACACCTTCAAGTTCAACATACTCCCACTTCTTACACATCAGGAAGCGGAGGCTTGCCCCAACTCTGCTACTCAGGCAGAGCCAGATTCTGGGAGGCTTCCCCATCCCATTCATCCAAAACGAAGGAGCATGCGCTCTCTGCCAGACACCAAGTCAGGTGCTGAGGAACCTTGTGTGTGGGGTCAGCCCGAACTCCCTGCTTGCAGGCTAGAAGCGGGGCGAAAGGGGATCACTCTACATAAACAGAGAGTCTCTAGGAGTTAAGTGCTATTAAGACACTCCGGCTAGGGAGCTGGAGCAATAGCACAGCGGGTAGGGCGTTTGCCTTGCACGCAGCCGACCCGGGTTCGATTCCCAACATCCCATAGGGTTCCCCGAGCACCACCAGGAGTGATTCCTGAGTGCAAAGCCAAGAGTAACCCCTGAGCATCGCCGGGTGTGACCCAAAAAACAAAAAGCAAAAAAAAGACATTCCCGATAGACCGGGCCGGAGTGACAGGCTCTGGCGCTTGCCTTGCATGCAGCGGGCACGGGTTCAACTCCCAGCACCCAGTTAGGGTCCTCCGAGCCTTCCAGAAATGATCCTTGAGCGCAGAGGCAGGAGAAAGCCCTGAGCACCACCAGGTATGGTTCTCCTCCACACACAAAAATTCCTGAAGGGAGCCAGAGGGTAAAGCACATGATCTCTGAGCACAGAGCCAGGAATAAGTCCTGAGCCTCAGGGTGTGCCTCCTCAAAAAAAAAAAATCCCGGTAAACAAAACATCATACACTAAGATACTTGCCTGACATCCTGCCAACCCCAGATCAAATTCCCCATATGGGCCCCCTGAGCATCACCATGGGTCACTCCTGACCCGAGCCAGAAATAGTCCCTGAGCACTAGTGTTGGCCCTAAACTCCCCCCACCCTCAAAAATAGTCAGAAATTGGACCCAGAAAATAGTTCAAAAGGGCTGGCATACATGCTTTACATGGAAGAGTCCTGGGAGTAGCCTGCCTGAGCACTGCTGGGTATGGCCCTCAAACCAAACCAAATGGAACAAAACAAAACTCAAGAACTAAATCACCAGCAATCTGGGAAGCAGTCACAGGAGATACTGTGGTCGTCCTACTATTGTCCAGTGACTCATTTCCAATGGCCACTTGACCTCATGCCTCTACTCTAGCTTCAGGTTCTTCACGTCTGAGAAAGATCAACTGGAAGGAGAGACGCTTCCTCTGGAATTCAGGTGTGATTCTGGGATCTGTGGCAGCCATCATGTGACCACAAGGAGAGGGTCATGAGCTACTCCCACATCAATGCTCATGGAACCATGCAGTGCCCAGGGTCCCTCTGAATTATCTCTTACAGAACTTGGGTTCTGAATGACATTGTTTTGAGTTTGGGGTTTTGGGTCACATCCAGCGGTGCTCAGGACTCACTCCTGGCGGGCCTGGCAGACTCCATGCAGTGCTGGGTATTGAACCTGAGTTCACCACATGCAAAGCAAGCACCCTCCCTGCTGTCCTATCTCTTAGGCCCTCAGGCCTCCTTTGATACCCGAGTTTACATTTCTGGAAAGACCTTCCCTCCCTCTCCCAACTATAAATCCCTACTCCTGGTCAAGACTTCTCCCAAAAGCCTTTTGGATTCTGGGCCAGAGACAGCAGGGAAGGGGTTTGCTTGCACGCAACCAGTCTCGATTCCAGCACTGCAAAAGGTCCCCTGAACACTTAGCCAAGAGTATTCAGATGTGCACTTCCTTAAAAAAAAAAATTGGCCCTCTTGCATTTAAAGCTGGAATTGGCCCTTTCCCAAAGGGAAATAACCATGCGGGACCCAGCATAGGTCAAGGTCTGTACTCAGGAGTAATCAACCACCAACAGGGCTGCCTTTACCACCACCTGGAGTTTCCCTTTCATCCTGAGCTGCCACAGCTAAGTGTTACCTTTGAAACAATTGTCACCAAGGTGCAGCAGGGGGTGTGGATTCCCCTCCCCCTGGGTATCTGTTCCACCCTTAGCTAATCTTGGAGTCCAATTAAGAAAGATTATGTTCCTTTGGGACCAGAGTGATAATACAGTAGGTAGGGCATTTGCCTAGCATGCATCCAACCTGGGTTCAATCTCGGGCATCCCAGAGGATCCCCCAATGCCAGGAGTCATTTTCTGAGTGCAGAGCCAGAAGTAACCCCTGAGCATCACTGTGTGTGACCCAAACCCCTCCCCGCCAAAAAATTTACCTGGAGTGGGGTTGGAGTGATAGTACAGTGTGGAGGGGTGCTTGAATGTGGCCAACCCAGGTTCAATCCCTGGCATTCCATAGGGTCTCCTGAGCCCACCAGGAGTGATTACTGAGTGCAAGAGTAAGTCCTGAGCATGGTCACGGTTGCTCCCCTCCCCAAACCAAATCATATATTATGTTTGTTTGGACTAGAGAGACAGTACAAAAGAAATCAGGGCATTTGCCTTGCATATGACTGACAAAGTTTCCATTTCTGGAACCCATAGATTTCCCCCAAAACATCCCAGGAATCTTGTCAGCAGTGAGAGAGAGAGAGAGAGAGAGAGAGAGAGAGAGAGAGAATGACTTTCCCCATGAACTCTAAGAGCCCCCTAAAGTGCAGAGGTTTCTCCCCCTCCCCCTCCTTCTCCTCTGCTGGATTCTGGGAACCTAAGAATGTTCCTTGTTGAGATTAGAGGAATAGTTCAACCAGCATTGCCTACAGGAGGCCCTGGGTTCTATCCCTGACATCACAGAGCCGCGCCACACTGCCAGATGCAATGCCAGAGCACCAGAGACCCAAAGTCCCTCAGGCTGTGTTTTGTTTTGTTTTGTTTTGACTTGGGGGCCACATCCATCAGTGCTGAGGACTGACTCCTGGCTCAGCACTCAGGGATCACTCCTGGTGAGACTCAAGGGGGAGGGGCCCTATGGGATGATGGTGACCGAACCCAGATCTGCCATGAGCAAGGTAAGCGCCATCCCTGATGTCCTATTGCTCAGGCCCTTCATGCTGTTCCTGAGTGTCCCTTAATTCAGTCAGGAGAGGGGCTGGAGCAACAGCACAGTGGGTAGGGTGTTTGCCTTGCATGCAGCCGACCTGGGTTCAATTCCCAGCATCCCATATGGTCCCCTGAGCACCACCAGGGGTAATTTCTGAGTGCAGAATCAGGAGTAACCCCTGTGCATCACCGGGTGTGACCCAAAAAGAAAAAAAAATCAGTCAGGAGAGGGGAACCCCTTAGCTCATCATTCCATCCACTTCCACTCACCAACTCCCAACTCCACACACGCCAGGTGTGGGGGGTTCTGGCCTCTGCATGGGAGAAGAATTTGACCAATCCCGCTCCTCCATCCTCGGGACCTTGGCCCACACCTATTGATCTGGACTCCGGGGCAGTCCAGCCAGCCGCCATGAGGTTCCCGTTGCTCCTGGGGTTCTTGCTGGCAAGCCTGGAGTCCGTGCTTTTGGTGAGCACCATGGGGATCAAGAATACTGGACCAGGGGGTTTTGGGTCAAAGATCAAAGGTCAGGGGTCGGGGTTAGGGGGTGCGTGCACAGGATCCTGGTTGAAATTCCGCACCCAGACCCACCTCCCAGCACTGCTGAGTATGTTTCTGGAGGCTCAACCAGAGAACACCCCTTGGGATGAGGAAATGAAGGGATCAGACTCTAGCCCTGGCCTCTGGCCATAATCTCTCAATCCAGGATTATTTGGGGGGCAGAGGGGGGTTTGTTCCAGTTTGGGGGCCAGAGCCAGCAGTGCTTGGGGTTTATTCCTGGCTCTGTGCGCAGGGATCACTCCTTGAAGGACCCTATGGGGTGCCGGAGATCGAACCCACGTTGGCCACGTACAAGGCGAACACCCTCCCTGCTGTAACTAGGGCTCAGGTCCCAAGGCCTGATATTTTTAGGGTGAGGCCATATATGGTAGCGTTCAGGGGTCACTCCCGGCTCTTGTCCTTTGGGGGGTCCTTCTAGCGGTGCTCAGAAGACCTCTGTGGTGCCAAGGATGCAAGTGGGGTCGGCAGCATATAAGGCAAACGCCTTAGCTGCTCTCCTCCCTTTCCGTAAAGCCCAGTCTGGGGAGAGAGAAGCCAGAGGGAGCCAACAGCAGGGGGAGGGGCCGCATTTCTGGAAAGATCCAGAGACAAGTCTCGGAGAATGGTGGAGGGCATGTGGAGGGGCAAGGTCTTGCAAGGAAGGGAGCGGCATTTGGGGGCTGAGGGAAGATGCTAGCTAGCATAGTTGGGTTTGGAGTGATAAATAGTCCAGTGGGGAGGGCATTTGCCTTACACGTGGCCGACGCAGGATCAATCCCCATCATCCCATAGGGTCCCCCTTGGAGAAACCGCCAGGAGCAGAGACAGGCGGCTGCAGGGAACACTGTGGGTAAGTAGCCAGCCTGCTCCCAAACACCCATGCGCTGTGGAGAGGAAACTCAAGAGGCCGCCTTTGCATGAGAGAGGTCCACATCCCATCCCCGGCCCAGCCTTATCTACTGAGCACTGTAGGACTGATCCCAGCGCACCACACTGGGAGCAGCCCCTGAGCCCCGAAAACTCCAAGAAAGGGCCAGAGAAATAGACCTGTGGGATAGACCCAGGTTCAATCCCCGGCACCTCATAGAGTCCCCTGAGCACAGCTCCAGGAGTCACCATGTGGTGTGGCCCCAAAACAATAACAACAGAAACTTTTTTTTTTTTTGCTTTTGGAACCACACCGGATGGTGCTCAGGGATCACTCCTTGAACAGTGTGTGGGGGAGTCTGTGGGGTGTTGGAGATCGAACCCCAAGTCAACTGCAAGCAAAGCAAGCATCTTACCCATTGTACTATCACTCTGGCCACTTCCATTTTATTTTAAGTTTTGGATCCAAAAAGCCCAATAAGGGACTGGAGCGATAGCAAAGTGGTTAGGGTGCTTGCCTTGCACACAGCTAACCTGGGTTCGATTCCCAGCATCCCATAGGGTCCCCGGAACACCACCAGGAGTAATTCCTGAGTGCAGAGCCAGGAGTAACCCCTGTGCATTGCCGGGTATGACCCAAAAAGCAAAAAAAAAACAAACAAAAAAAAAAAAAACAGAAATCACTGGGTCTGGAGCCTTAGCACAGCAGGGAGGGTGTTATTTACCCTGCACGCAGCCAACCCAGGTTCGATCCCCAACATCCCATAGGGTCTCCCGAGCACCACCAGGAGTGATTCCTGAGTGCATGAGCCAGGAGTCACCCCTGAGCATCACTGGGTGTGACCCAAAAAGCACCCCCCCAAAAAAAATCACTGCTGGAGGGATTCAGAGGACACTCTGGGGTGCCAGGGACAGAACCCAGGTGGACGGAGTGCGAGGCATGTACCCCACCCTCTGTGCTCTATGCTCCAGCTCCCAGCCCCCCCCTTCCACAGAGGCCTCTCCCTGTGTCTCCAATCCGGCCTCTTCCCTCACCGCCGGCACTAAATATTATTCTCCGGGGCACTAAATATTTACCTAGAGATGACAACGAAATGAACTCTGCCCTCCAGAGCCCAATTTGGTGGGGCCGGCCCAGCCCCGGGACACGGAGCCAGGAAGGCCAGCTCACAAAATCTCAGCCTCGCCCCACTCCTTATCGGTGCTCCTGGCTGCACTGCTTTCCTTTCCTTTCCTTTTTGGGATGTGTGTGGGGAGATCTACTCCAGCAGGGTCAGGAGCCCGAGGGGTCACACCCTGTAATACTTGTCCCGTGGGGTGGGGGGGCGGGGTTCCAGCACTGGGTTTGCTGACCAGAGGCCATGCGGGCCTGGCAGGAGGCCGTGTACAGGCGGGAAGACCTCCTCAACGATCCCCAGGCCCTCCTCCCTTGTTCTTCTCTTTCTTTTTTATTATCTTGTTTTCTTTTTTCGGCTTTTTTTGGGTCAGACCCAGCCATGCTCAAGGGTGACTCCTGGCTTTGCACTCAGGAATTACTCCTGGTGGTGCTTGGGGAACCATATGGGATGCTGGGAATTGAACCCAGGTGAGTGACATGCAAGGCAAATGCCCTACCCGCTGTGCTATCACTCCTGCCCCTTTCTTTTCTTCTCTTTTTGCTTTTTGCTTTTTGGGTCACACCTGGCGATGCACAGGGCTTACTTCTGGCTCATGCACTCAGGAATTACTCCTGGCGGTGCTCAGGGGACCCTATGGGATGCTGGGAATTGAACCTGGGTGAGCCATATGCAAGGTAAATGCCCTGCCCACTGGACTATCACTCCTGCCCCTTTCTTTTCTTTTCTTTTGCTTTTTGGGTCACACCCAGTGATGCACAGCGGTTACTCCTGGCTTGTGCACCTAGGAATTACCCCTGGTGGTGCTCGGGGGACCATATGAGATGCTAGAAATCGAACCCGGATCGTCAGCGTGCAAGGCAAACGCCCTACCCCCTGTGCTATCGCTCCAGCCCCTTCTTTTCTTTTCTCTTCTTTTCTCCTTTCCTTTCTTTGTTTCTCTCTCTCCTTCTCTCTCTATCATACTTTTTAATTTTGGTTTTTGGGCCAATCCTGGCAATGTTCAAGAGTTACTCCTGGCTCTGCATTCAGGGGACCTTATGGGATGCCGAGGATCAAACCTGGGTCAGCCACATGCAAGGCAAGAGCCCTTCCCATTGTACTACCACTCTGGCCTATTTTTCTTTCTTTCTTACTTTTTTCCTTCTTTATCTCTCTGTTTTTCTCTCTTTTTCTCTCTATTTCTCTCTCTCTCCTCTCTCTCTCTTTCCTCTTTGTTTTGGGGCCAGATCCTAAAGTGCTCAGAGCTTACTCCTCGCTCTGCACTCAGAAATCACTCCTGGCTTGCTCTGGGGACCCTATGGGATCTGGGGATTGAACCCAGGTCTGCTGCATGCAAGGCAAATGCCCTACCTGCTGGACTATTTCTCCAGCCCTCCCTTTTATTCTCTCTCTCTCTCTCTCTCTCTCTTTTTATCTTTTCTTCCTTTTTTGAGCTACACCCAGCAGTGCTCAAAGCTTCCTCCCAGCTCTGCACTCAGGGATCATTCCCAGAGGGCCTAGGGGTGCTGGACCACTACCATCAGAGTGGCCAAGACTGCACTCAGGGCATGTGGGCAGCACAGAGGATCCAACTCACAGCCTGGCATTTTCCAGATTATCTTTGCAGCTCAGAAACACATTTTTGGGTAGAAGGCACATCCATCAGTGCTCAGCACTTACTCCTGGATCTGAGCTCAGGGATCACTCCTGGTGGGTCATGGGGGAGATCCTATGGGGCGTCAAGGATCAAGACTGGGTTAGCTCCACACAAGGCAAACCCCTCCCCCCAGGCCGGAGAGATAGTAGAGTAGGGAGGGCGCTTGCCTAGTGCACAGCCGACCTGGGTTCCATCCCCTGCATCCCACAGGGTCCTCTGAGCAGCATCAGGAGCGATTCCTGAGTGCAGAGCCAGGAGTCAGCCCTGAGCATCACTGGTGTGGTACAAAAACAAAACAAAACCAAAAAAGGCCAGTTCTCTACCATCTGTACTATCACTTCCACCCCAAAGGCAGTGATCTTTGGGGGGGAGGGCATCACGCTTCTCCCCAGCACGAAGAGGTCGTGCTAGGGCAGAAGGCTCTAGGGTGTGTTCTCTTTGCAGTGCTGACTGTCAGCGGGGAACTCTGCCATTTTCCTTTCCAATACCACCGGCGGCTCTACCACCATTGTACCCAGAGGGGCCGGCCGGGCTCCCAGCCCTGGTAAGGCTGCTGGAGTGGTGGGAGCAGAAGCCCCACAGGAGAGGGAGGCTGCCCCCAGAATCCTTGTTTGTGGGGGGAGTCAGAGGGGGCTGCTAGTCCCTGGGCAGAGTAAAAAAAACTGCTTCTCTGGGAGGCTGGAGCAATAGCACAGCAGGTAGGGCGTTTGCCTTGCACGCAACCAACCTGGATTCGATTCCCAGCATCCCATGTGGTCCCCTGAGCACCGCCAGGAGTAATTCATGAGTGCAGAGCCAGGAGTAATCCCTGTGCATTGCCAGGTGTGACCCAAAAAGAAAAAAAAAAAAGCTGGATCTCTTTCAACAGGTGCGCTACCACCCCCAACTTTGATCAAGACCAGCGATGGGGGTACTGCTTGGAGCCCAAGAAAGAGAAAGGTGCCATCCACTGCTGGGGTGGCCCAGGGGCCCTCTCCTCACCCCCTGATTGTCCATTGACCACCCTCCCACATAACCCATCCAACCGCCCAGGGTTTGAACCCACCCTGTCCCTTCCCTTCCTTCCTCCCTGGGAGAGAAGCTGTGGGAGAGGAATCAGCCCATTTTGCAGATATGTAAATCAAGGCCTGGCAGCATCCAGGTTTAGAAGACAAGTGGGTTCAGGCAAAGACTTGGTGGGTGGATGGGAGGGGTGGGTCAAGGGGTCAGACTCACACCTCTCCCTCTCTTTCAGACCACTGCGGCAAACATAATCCCTGCCATAAGGGGGGTACCTGTGTGAACACACCCCAAGGCCCCCGCTGTCTCTGTCCCGAGCTCTTCACCGGCAAGCACTGCCAGAAAGGTGGGGGTGATGAGGGTCAGTCCAAACTGGGGTGCACAGACTCAGGGGACACTTGACAGGGTGTCCCTCTATGGAGCCCACACCCCGACTCCCGGGATTCTCTCTCTGTTCCCAGAGAAATGCTTCGAGCCTCAGCTTCTCCGATTCTTTCATGAGAATGAAATTTGGTACCGGGCTGAGCAGGCTGGTGGGGCCAGGTGTCAGTGCCGGGGGCCCGGGGCCCAGTGCCAACTGCTGGCTGGTCAAGGTGAGGGCATAGAGGACCGGATGTGGGTGGAGGAGCTGATGGGCGGCTGAGGGGAAAGTGGGTGGGAGATGCCATTTAAGGGGCTCTGTGCTCAGGAATCTCTCCTGGAGGTGCTCAGGGAACCATATGGGATGCCGGGGATCGAACCTGGGTCGGCCGTGAGCAAGACAAGCCCCCTCCCCGCTGTGCTATCACTGTAGCTATCTATATGGCTCTCACTCGGCCCTTTCTCCCAGCCTGCCAGGCCAATCCGTGTCTCAATGGGGGACACTGCGTGGAAGTGGAGGGGCACCAGCTGTGTCACTGCCCTGAGGGCTATTCTGGAAGCATCTGCGATGTGGGTGAGTAAGGCAGGAGGTGGGACAGGGAGAGGAGAGGCCACATGGGAAGTGTCAGCGGAGGGGATGAAGAGTGGTCAACCTCCTGGATATCTGGGAGCCTTATTCCTCCCATTATAATAATAATAATAATATTTTGCTTTTTGGGTCACATCCGGCGATGCACAGGGGTTACTCCTGGCTCATGCACTCAGGAATTACTCCTGGCAGTGCTTGGGGAACCACATTGAATGCTGGGAATTGAACCCGGGTCAGCCGTGTGCAAGGCAAACGCCCTACTCACTGTGCTATCTCCAGCCCCTAACCCTCCCTGTTTGGGGCCATGCCTGGCTGTGCTCAGGACTTAACTCCTGGCTGTGTGCTCAGGCATCAAGGGACCACATGGAGTGCCAGGATCAAACCCTGGTCCACCATGTGCAAAGGCCAATGCCCTCTCTGCTCCTCTTCTCTCCCTAAAATTTTTGGCAAAGGCACTGATCAGGGCTTACTCCTGGCACTGTGCTCAGGAATGCTTGGAGGATTATATGAGGTGATAGAAATTGAACCCAGGTTGACCACATGCCAGGCAAGCACCCTACCTGCTCTACTATAGCTCCAGATCTTTTCTTTTTTTGGGGGGGGAGGGTGTTTGGGCCACACAATCAGAGATGCTGGAAAAACTATTCCTGGCCTTATTCTCAGGGATGATGCCTGAGTTATCAAAACAATACTGGGTGGGTTTCTTTTTTTGGGGGTGGTGGGGGGAATTGTCTTTTTTTTTCATTTTGTGTCACACCCAGCTATGCTCATGGGTTACTCCTGGCTCTAAACTCAGGAATTACTCCTGCCGGTGCTTGGGGGACCAAATGGGATGCTGGAGATTTAACCCTGGCAAATGCCCTACCCGCAGCGCTATGGCTCCAGCCCCTGTTTCTTTTGTTTTGCGGGCACTCTTGGCAATGCTCAGGGGTTATCCTAGCTCTGCTCTCAGAAACTATTACAGTGGGATTGGCCAAATGCAAGGCAAGAGAGCGCCTTACCCGTGGTACTATCTCTCCAGTCCCACGTGCCTTAAGTTCTGTTATTGGGCCACATTCGGCGATGCTCTGGACTCACTCCTAGCACTGAGCTCAGGGATTTCTCCTGGAGGGCTCAGGGGTGCCAGGGATCGAATGCAAGGGGTATGCGTGCCAGACAAGCACATTACCCGCTGTGCAATCTCTCCTCCCGCAACCGGTTAGATCTTGAGACAAATTGCTACGAAGGGCGGGGTCTCAGTTACCGCGGCAGGGAGCGGACCACGGTCTCGGGCGCTCGCTGTGAGTCCTGGACCTCGGAGGCCAGTTACAGCAACGTGAGCGTCGAGCAAGCGCGCCACTGGGGCCTGGGAGACCACGCTTTCTGCAGGTGCGCCCTTGCAGGACCTGGGCAGAGCTGGGCGGGGCGAGCCCGGGACGGGGCTGGGGTTCCCACGTTCTAACAGCGCCCCCTCCTGGCGGCCACAGGAATCCAGACAACGACACCCGTCCGTGGTGCTTTATCTGGATGGGCGACCGTCTAACCTGGGAATACTGTCGCGTGCCACAGTGCCAGCCCCGGGGCCGGTTGATGCCCCAAATCCTTCCCGCACGCTGGAGACCCTCGGGGTACCCGGAGTCTCCCCCTCCCCCACCTTCACCCAGGCAGAAACCCGAGTCCTTGACTCCCACCGGGAGCTCAACTCATCCCCCGACCACTGGTAATTAACTGGACGCGGGGAACGCCCGAATGCTGCCGTTTCTGGGGTGGGTGAGGGCAAAGGTTTTTTTTAGGGGGGGGGGGCGGGCTCTTGCTCAGTCCCGGCTCCTCTCGTAGCCTCGCCCACTTTGCCCCAGAAGCAGTCGACCCCCTGGTCCAAGGTGCGCCAGGTGGAGCCGGAGGGTTGCGGCCGACGGCTCCGGAAACGGTTTTCCTCGATGCGCCGCGTGGTCGGGGGGCTGGTGGCGCTGCCCGGGGCGCACCCTTACATCGCAGCGCTGTACTGGAGCGACGGTTTCTGTGCCGGCAGCCTCATCGCCCCGTGCTGGGTGCTGACGGCGGCGCACTGCCTGCAGAAGCGGTGAGCACCCCGTCTCTGGCCCCTGCCCAATCCCAACCCCCAAGCTCCAGCCAAGCATCTTGGGTAGCTGCACCCCACTTGACTCCGTGCGCTCGCCCATCCTGAGTTTCTGAAACCCAGAGGTGGGATGCAGGGGGACCTTGCGACGGTGTGTGTGTGTGTGGGGGGCGTTCCTCTGAGAGCGCATCCCCTTCCCACAGGCCTGCGCCCAAGGAGCTGACGGTGGTGCTGGGTCAGGAGCGCTATAACGAGAGCTGCCAGCAGTGCCAGACGCTGGCCGTGCACTCTTACCGTTTGCACGAAGGCTTCTCGTCCACGACCTACCAGCACGACCTGGGTGCGCGGGGTGGGGGTGGTGGGGGGTCGTGCCAGTGGGGATCGGGGTGCGGGGAAGGGCAGAGCTCCGAGGGGCTGTCTCACCCGGCTCCTGCCCGCGCGCGGGTCAGCCTTGCTGCGCCTGCAGGAGCGCGCGGACGGCAGCTGCGCCCTCACGTCGCCCTACGTGCAGCCGGTGTGTTTGCCCCGCGGCCCCGCATCGCCAGCCCAAGACGAGAGCATGGTGTGCGAGGTGGCAGGCTGGGGCCACCAGTTTGATGGTAAGCGGAGTGACTGGTGTGAAAGTGTGTGTGTGTGGGGGGGTTCAGGGGCAGAAGGAGGGGGACCTCGGGAGGGTCGGCAGCACTGATTGTTTTGTAGGATTTTGTTTGGGGGCCACACCTGGCAATGTTCAGGGTTTACCCCTGACTCTGTACTCAGGGGCCACTCCTGGGGTCCTCAGGGGAGATCCTAGGGGATGCCAGAGATTGAACCCGGGTTGACCAAGTGCAAGGCAAGCCCCTTTCCTCTCAAATCTGGATTTAGATCAGATTAACCATCAATATTTTTGTTAGTTTGTTTTGGGTCATGTCCAGTGGTGCTTAGGGCTTAGTACCAACTCCCTTAGTCCGGGTCCCAGCTCTATGCTCAAGGATTTCCCTGGGCATCTGGGTCAGCTGAATTCTTTCCAGGGTTGAGGAGCTCATGGAAGGTGTACAAAAATCCAAACCCTCTGGGCTGCCAGGGCTAAGACGGGCAGAAAGGGCCAGGGCAGGTGGGAGGCTTGGGACAAAGTCCTAAGACCCTGGAGGGGAAGACAGGATGGGTCAGGATCCCCAAACAGTCCAAGGTGTTCCCCCCCCTTTTTTTTCTTTTCACTTTTTGGGCTCCTGACTCTGCACTCAGGAATTACTCCTGGCGATGCTCAGGTGACCTTATGGGATGCCAAGAGATCGAACCCAGGTCGGGGATGTGCAAGGCAAATGCCCTCCCCTCTGTACTATCACTCTGGATCCCCCCTGTTTGAGGCATTTCAATCCCACTTTTCCCCTGCCTGGCCTGGGCTGCTGCCTGCGAGGGACGAAGGAAGTTGGAGCGTCTGGAAACGCCTGGATGGCACGCGCACCGAGCACGAGCACGGCGCGCACAGGGCAGGGAGGAGGGCAGGCTGTGAGTGAGAAAGGCGATCTCTCGGTTGGCAGGGGCGGAGGAATACTCCAGCTTCCTGCAGGAGGCGGAGGTGCCTCTGATCTCCCCTGAGCGCTGCTCGGCCCCCGAAGTGCACGGGACCACTTTTCTCCAGGGGATGTTGTGCGCCGGATTCCTGGAGGGCGGCACGGACGCGTGCCAGGTGAGTTCCCCCGGCCCGGGTCTGTCTCCTGACCCCAGTCCAGGGACGTGATCTGACTCCCCGCCACCCCCAGGGGGACTCCGGAGGTCCGCTGGTGTGTGAGAACGAGGACGCTGAGGACCAGCTCATCCTTCGAGGCGTTGTCAGCTGGGGCTCTGGCTGTGGAGACCGCAATAAGCCAGGTGTCTACACCGACGTTGCCAACTACCTGGCCTGGATTCAGGAGCATCTGGATTCCTGATCTCACCCAGGAATGCGTCTTTTGCTCCTGGACGAGATCAGGGAGCCGGTCGGGGCAGGAGTCTGGATGGGCAAGGAACGCTCATGCATGCCACAATCAATAAATAGCCTTTTGAGGGGTCCAGAGAGATAGGACAGCGGGGAGGGTGCTAGCCTCGCACACTGCCCATCCGGGTTTGATTCCCAGCATCCCATAGGATCCATCAAGACCTCCAAGAGTGGGGGCTGGAGAAATAGCACAGCGGGTAGGGCGCTTGCCTTGCACGTGGCTGACCCGGGTTCGATTCCCAGCATCTCACATGGTTCCCCGAGCATGGCCAGGAGTAATTCCTGAGTGCATGAACCAGGAATAAGCCCTGTGCATCGCTGAGTGTAACCCAAAAAGCAAAATAAATAAATAAATAAATAAAAGACCTCCAAGAGTGATCCCTGAGCACAGAGCCAGGAGTGTCAGCCCTGAGAACCTCCAGGTGTGGCCAAAAAACCAACCAAACAAAAAATGACTAAAAAAGAGCTCTTTTGAGGGAAGGATCTTGTGCTCTCGGTTATATCCCCAAGCACCGCCAGGGGTCACTCCTAAGCACAGGGCTAGGAGTAGCCCCTCAACACGGATGAGCACAACCCCCAAACGCACCTGGGTACTCCTAATAAAGTGCTCATTGTAAATATTTGAGCAGCAGAGTCCTTCAGGGGTTGCACTAGAAAATTCCAAGTGTGAACAATTTCCCCATCTGCCTCATGCTCTGCAGAAATTCTCCCTCCCCCCACTTCCTCTTCCCTCTGTTGTGATAATCAGTTGCACAAGTGGTATAGTGGATTGCATTGGGCATGTGGGGGACAGTGCCAGGGATTGGTCTGAGGCTGGCAAAGGGGGATTCTCTACCACCAAGCTATACCCTGGGCCCCAATGATCTATGGGTTTGAGCTTTTTGGGCCATACCTGGTGATGCTCAGGGGTTACTTCTGACTCTGCACTCAGGGATCATTCCTGGTGGTACTTGGGGGACCTTATGGGATACCGAGGATCGAACTTGGGTCGGTCACATGCAAAGCAAATGCCCTCCTCCCCACTGTGCTATCGCTCCACCCCCCTTCTGTCCCAATGATCTTTGAACAGCTTGTGTAAGACTTAGATTCTTTTAAAATATGTTTATTTTTGTATCTCTGCTGGAGCAATGTACGGTGGGTTGTTTGCCTTACATGCGAATGACACAGGTTCCATCCCTGGCATCTCAAATGGTCTCCTGAGCACCATCAGGATTGATTCATGAGTGCAGAGTCCAGAGGAACCTCTTGAGCACTGTCAGGTGTGACTCCAAAATCAATTTTTTAAATTTCTGAATTATTTGGAAGGAATCACACCCATTGACACTTGGGTTACTCCTGGCTCTGCACTCAGGAATTACTCCTGACAGTGCAGTATTATATGGGATACCAGTGATTGAACCAGAGTCCGCCACATGCAAAGTAACCATCCTACCCTCTGTACTATCGCTCCAGCTCCAAGATTTAGATTCAGCCCAGCTGGTACTAGATGTCAGTATGGACAAGCCTCAGGAAAGGTGATTTTCTATAAAATTTCCTCTAAAAATATTTAATAAAAGTGGAAGTAGCCCCCAAACAAACAAACAAAAAAAACACCTCGTCCTGTGCTTGGTGGACCCCAGAAGTTGATATGGGAAGTGTTTTTTTTATTTACATGATACTCAGCTTAAGAGTATCATATAAATCAGAGTTATTCAGTACTCAGCTGAAGACTCCAGGGCTGGAACAATAGTACAGTGGGTAGGGCGTTTGCCTTGAATGCGGACGACCTGGGTTCGATCCCCGGCATCCCATATGGTCCCCTAACACTGCCAGGAGTGATTCCTGAGTGCAGAGTAACCCCTGAGCATCGCCAAGTGTGACCCAAAAAGCGGAAAAAAAAGACTCCAGAGCATATGAGTGCTAATGGCAGCAAAGTATTAAAATTAGGAGGAATGTAATTTACAGCTTGGCGACCCTATAGCAGAAAAATCCAGTGAATTTCCAGCACTAGGAAATGTCCCCCTTGCACGCTTGGGTACCCCCAACAAAATTAGAAGCGTTGGGACTGGAGCGACAGTACAGTGGGTAAGGTGCTTGCCTTTCACACAGCCATCCTGAGTTTGATCCCCAGCATTCTATAGGGTCCCCAAGCCTAACCAGGAGCACAGAGAGAGGAGTAAGTCCTGAGCACCACTGGAGGTAACCCCCCGCCCCCAACACACACACACAAAAAAAGGAAACAAAAAAGAGTCCAGGAAATGGAGAACTAGTCCAGAGTTTAAGGCGCTGTCCTAGCAAGCAGCAGATTCGGGTTCAATCCCCCACAGCCCTTAGGGTCTCCCACGCCCCACCAAGAGTAATCCCTGAGCACCACCGGATGTTGCCCAACCCCCAATCCCAGCCCCCCAAACGCGCATATTCTCAGCATGCTCAGACGTTGCGTGACATTACATCCCATACAGTCACAGTGGCCCCCTGGCAATGGTACATCACAGTGCCCCTTGACGAGCATCCATCACAGTGTCCCTGGCGAGCATCCGTCACAGTGCCCCCTGGCGAGCATCCGTCACAGTGTCCCCCTGGCGAGCATCCGTCACAGTGCCCCCTGGCGATCACAGCTTGCCAGTGAAGCAGGAGGAGCAAAACTTACCCGGAGCAGGAATGGGCGACTGGAAAGGTTACATCTGTGCGGTGCTGCGGGACCAGCGCATCGACGACGTGGCCATCGTGGGCCACTCGGACAATCGCTGCGTGTGGGCCTCGCGGCCCGGGGGCCTGCTGGCGGCCATCTCCCCGCAGGAGGTCGGGGTGCTCACGGGACCTGACCGGCGCAGCTTCCTGCAGACGGGCGTGAGCGTGGCGGGGCGCCGCTGCTGCGTCATCCGCGACCATCTGCTGGCCGAGGGCGACGGCGTGCTGGACGCGCGCACCAAGGGGCTGGACGGGCGCGCTGTGTGCGTGGGCCACACGCCGCGCGTGCTGCTGGTGCTCATGGGCTGCCGTGGCGTGCACGGCGGCGTCCTGAACAAGACGGTGCACGAGCTCATCCACGGGCTGCGCACGCAGGGAACCTAGGGCCCCGCGCGGGGAATAAAGTCTGGCCTCCACGGGGTGCATTGCCTCCTTCTCGGTGCAAGGGTGCGCAGGGCGTGGACGTGGCTTACCGGCAGCTGAAGGTTTATTTACTGGGTCTGAGATTTGAAACCCGCGTTAGATGCTCTTCACCTGGCGTCTTCCAGGCCAGAGATAAGGACTTGGAACCAACCCACCCTTTCTTCCTTCCTTCTCCCTTCCTTCCTTTTTTCCTTCTCTTCTTCCTTCTTTCTCTCTTTCTTCCTTCTCTCCTTCCTTCCTTCTCTCTTTCTTCCTTCTTTCCTTCCTTCTCTCCTTCCTTCCTTCTCTTCCATCTCTCTTCCTTCTTTCCTTCTCTCCTCTCTTCCATCCTCTTTTCATTCCTTCCTTCCTCCCTTCCTTCCTTCCTTCCTTCCTTTCTTCTTCCCTTCCTTCCTTCTTTCCTTCTCTCCTCTCTTCCATCCTCTTTTCCTTCCTTCCTCCCTCCCTTCCTTCCTTCTCCCTTCCTTCCTTACTTTCTTCTTCCCTTCCTTCCTTCCTTCCTTCTTCCCTTCCTTCCTTCCTTCCTTCTCCCTTCCTTCCTTCCTTGCTTTCTTCTTCCTTCTTCCTTCCTTCCTTTCTTTCCTACCTTCTCTCCTTTCTTCCCTCCTTCTCTCTTCCTTCTTTCCTTCTATCCTCCCTTCCATCCTCCCTTCCTTCCTTCCCTCCCTCCCTCCTTCCCTCCTTTCCTTCCATCCTCCCTTTCTTTGCTATTTCAGGGGCTCACCATCCCGTGGTGACCTGAGGGTCCCCTTGATGTATTCAAAACCAATCACTGTTTCTCCAGCTGGTTGACAGCAACAAATGAAGGAAGGGGGCCACAGGTTGGTTGATAATCAGTAATCAGTGACTGTTTATTCCAGTCTCACAGCTGCTAGTTAAAGAGAAATCTTGAAGTGTTGGGGGTAGCAATTACACATAGGTGTGGTTGAACATTACTATAACAACAAACAGATGCAAAGCCCTTCCTTCAGGGGAAGTTCTTCTTGGGGATTTACCCAAGGACAAAATCTCAGTTGAGGGTTCAGCACTCTAGATTACTAGGCGATCTGCCCAAGGGCGGGATTCCATGGGCGAGATTCCATCTAAGGGCATATTGCTTTCTCCTTTCCTTAGCTAGTAATCCATTTAAACAATCATGTTAAATTTACTTAGTATATTTCTAGGCATTTTGCATGAATACAGTAAGAGATATATTAAGCTTAAAGAGTGGTTTTTCCTGGGTACATCTCACTATATATCCCAGACTTCAGTCCTCAGGTCAGGTTAGTCTTTCCTAACCCCAGCAGCATCCTTATAAAGTTACTTCTTTTTTGGTCAAGACAGACTTTGTTCCATGATTGTGCTTTTATACTACTTATGGCGCTTAGACAGTTCCTTTTTTACACAACGGTAGTTTACGGCTTGCTCTGGGTCCATCCAAGTACCTCGCCAGGACTCCCCTTTTGGGGTGTTAGGAAGTAAGGGAAACAGGCTTAAGTCAAGTGAATATGATAGATGCCCTGGAGTAAATATTATTCGGAGTCAGTTAACTCCCAGGTTACAAAAGCATAGCATGAACTGTGTTCCTGTGTCTATACAAAAAGGACATTGTTCTAAAGTATGCAAAGGACATAAAAGAGAAAAGCAATATTTCACTTATACAGACAAAACCCAGACCCCTCAGAAGAGCTGACCTACACAAAACAGGGCCTGATTTGGGGATATTTGTGATTAACAGATAGCAGAAGGACACAAAGGAGAGGTTAAAGATTAACAAAATTACAGTGCCTGATGGAATTGGGCTGCCTCGGGAGTGCTGTGATGGGTATAACTCAATAAACCTAAACTCCCTGCAGGAGGAATAAGGACAAATAAATGTTACTTCTTAAAATGCTTAGAACTGTAATCCAACCCCTCCTTCCCTCCTTCCTTCCTTCCCTCCCTCCTTCCTTCCTTCCTTCCCTCCTTCCCTTCCCTCCCTTCCTTTCCCTTCCCTTCCCTTCCCTTCCCTCCCTTCCTTTCTTTTTCCCTGTTTGAGAGGGTGCATATCGGGCAGGGTGTCCTCCCCACTGTACTAACCCAAAAAGCCAAAAGGGGGAAAAGAAACGTGTTTTGGCAATGCTCAGGGACCATATGGGAAGCTGGAAATCAAACCCTGGTTGGCTACATGCAAGGTAAGTGCCTTAATCATTGTACTATCACTCCGGGCCCCGCTTTCCTGTTTTTCTGTTTTGGGGCCACACCTGGTGGTACTAAGGGCTTACTCCAGGCTCTAGGCTCATGGATCACTCCTGGTGGGCTTCAGGAATCATGGGGTGCCAGGGCTCAAACTCAAGTTTAACCACACTGTAAAGCAAGTATCCTACCCTCTGTATTATCACTCTAGGCCATGGGCCAGGTCAACTGTTGGTGTGAGCTTGTAGCCTGGCTACCCCAGCACAGTGGGGGAAGGTGTGTGTGTGTGTGTGTGTGTGTGTGTAGAAGTGGGGAAAAGCACTGCTGCATCCCAAGTCTGGGCGTCTGGATCAAACGGGGAAAATCATGCATGCCATTTCTTTTTATTTTTTCATCAGTGTGGGAAAGGTGGGGGGGAGGGCGTGAATCAGTAATGCAGAAAAGCCGTATGACCGTCTGGAGACGGGGAGGGCGCAGGGAAGACGGCAGGAATGACGCAGGCACCCACATCGAAGACGCACAGACTGCGACAAATCATCCGCGCGCGCACACAAGACTGGCACTCGGCTCCGCGGGTCGGAGTGGAGTGACGTGCCCGCCGGGACGCTCCAGGCGCGCGCTGAGGACGGCGCAGGGCAGCCTGCGCCCGGGGGATATCCTGCATCAGCATCTGTGCACAGGCTCTTCACAAATCGATCCCCCGCGTGCATCTTGCACCGATCGGGCTAGCCCAGCCCCAGCCCTCGGGGGAACCTGCGGGAGGAGCCGGGGCGCGTGCTCGGACGGCGGAGCAGCCGCGCGCGGCTCTTGCCCATCCTCCCCGTGGCACTGGGCACGGGTCCTCCCCGCCGGCAGGCGGCAGCCTAGAGGCGCGTGGCATTGTGCCGAGCCGCCAGCGCCAGGCGCGGAGAGGGGGTGGCCGGGGGTCGGTCCTCCAGGAAGACCCTGGCGGGGAGCGGCGGGGAGCGGGGCTCGGGCCGGGCGCAGCACAGGGTGGCGCGGGTGATGAGGCGGTCCAGGGGCTTCAGGGAATGCATCCAGCCGGGCAGGAAGTCCCACGTCTGCAGCCACTTGGGCAGGCGCCCTGGGTCGCGGCTCTGCAGGACGCTGACCAGGGCCACGAAGGCCAGCAGGGCCCCGAAGGGAGCGCCCACCCCTACCATGGCCTGCCAGCCGGCCATGGAGATGCCGAAAACCAGCGAGGGCAGCAGCAGGAAGCAGAGGAGGAGGTAGAGGACAGCGAACCAGCGGTACTTGGAGGTGCGCTTGCCCAGCGCTTTGGCCATGCGGATGGGCAGGCGCGTGCAGGGCACCGGGTACCACAGCAGGATGCCCGAGATGTTGAAGAAGAAGTGGCACAGGGCGATCTGCAGGGGAGAGGGAGAAGGGCTGGCGTGGGCTCCGGCTCACTGGGATCACGGGAAGATCAGTAAGGGATTTCCTGCTGAAGGCTGAGGGGAAGATCTGCTCACTTCACACCTTGGTGATGCTCAGGGGTCACTCCTGGCTCTGCACTCAGGAATTGCTCCCGGCGGTGCTGGGGGATGCTATGGGATGCTGGGGATACTATGGGATGCCGGGGATCCAACCCGGATCGCACGGGGGCAAGGCCCTCCCCGCTGTCCTATCACTCCCACTCCGAATATGGTAACTTTCTAGGGGCCGGTGCGGAACACGTTTGCTGACCCGGATTTGATCCCCAGTATCCCATAGCGTCCCCTGAGCACCATCAGGGGTGATCCCTGAGCACGGCGCCAGGAGTCAGCCCTGAGCATCGCCAGGTGTGGACTCAATACATACATATATATATATATGTATATATATATATATATATATATATATATGGGCTGGAGCGATAGCACGACAGGTAGGGTGTTTGCTCTGCACGCAGCCAACATGGCTGACCCAAGTTCGATTCCTCTGCCCCTCTCAGAGAGCCTGGCAAGCTACCGAGAGTATCCCGCCCGCATGGCAAAGCCTGGCAAGCTACCCATGGCGTATTCGATATGCCAAACACAGTAACAATAAAGTCTCACACTGGAGACGTTACTGGGCCCGCTCGAGAAAATCAATAAACAACGGGAGGACAGTGACAGTGATATATATATATATACATATATATAATATATACTAAAACATATAGATATAAAAACTTTATACATAGGTCCCCAAACACACACACAGATATACAGCACTGTCCTCCCATTGTTCATCGATTTGCTCGAGTGGGCACCAGTAACATCTCACAACAAATTGTGAGACTTGTTGTTACTGTGTTTGGCATATCACGGGTAGCTTGCCAGGCTCTGCCATGCAGGCGAGATACTCTCGGTAGCTTGCCGGGCTCTCCGAGAGGGGCGGAGGAATCGAACCCGGGTCGGCCATGTTGGCCACATGCAAGGCAAATGCCTTACCCGCTGTGCTATTGCTCCAACCCACACAGATATATATGTATATATATATTTATGTATATATATATATATAACCTTTTTCTTTTCCTGTGTTTGTTTTGGAGCCGTGCCTGGAGGTGCTAGGGGTGGGGTGGTGCAGAGGGGAAGGGGGCAGGAATCATGCAGTGATGGAAGTGGACCTAGGCTTCTGCCCACTGAGCCATCCCCACACTCAGTACTGGAACCAGCTGTCAAACACCCATCTCTCTCTCTTAACAAATCTCATGTTCGGGAATTCCCCTGCCAATATTTTTGTTTTTGGGGGTCACACCCAGCAATACTCAGCATCACTGGGTGGGGTTCCAGGCAGCCACTCCCACCTCTGGGAAGTCCCCACCATCAGGTATACCTGGGGTACTGGTTAGACAGTTCAGGGGTGCAGGCCTTCCATGCACAGGGGCCCAACTTCAATCCCCAGCAACACATGCCCATTCCGTACCCCCATGATGACTTGGGGTGGTCTGGAGGTCCACTGCCTGCACCAGTAGTCACAAGCATTGAACCATCTATGGGGCCAGAGCCAGAGTACAGCAGGGAGGGCAAACCTTGTACAGGTTCGATTCCGGCATCCCATAGGGTCCCTTGAGCTTCCAGGAGTGATCCCAGAGAACAGAGCCAGGAGTCAGCCCTGAGCATTTGCCAGAGGTAGCTCCAAATCAACTCCCCCTCAAAGCATCTAATTAGCCATGGATACCCAAAAGTGGTGCTAGGGTCCCCCATGCCCTCCTATACCCTCTCTAAAAAGTTATGCTTGGGGGGGCTGGATCGATAGCACAGCGGGTAGGGGGTTTGCCTTGCACGCGGCCGACCCGGGTTCGATTCTCAGCATCCCATAGGGTCCCCTGAACACGGCCAGGAGTAATTCCTGAGTGCTTGAGCCAGGAGTAACCTCTGTGCATTGTTGGGTATGACCCAAAAAGAAAAAAAAAAAGTTATGCTTGGGGCTGGAGTGATAGTACAGCGGGTAGGGTGTTCGCCTTGCCCTTGCTGGGTTTGATTCCCAGCATCCCATATGGTCCCCTGAGCACCACCAGGAGTAACCCCTGTGCATCGCTGGGTGTGGCCCAAAAAGAAAAAAGAAAAGTTATGCTTAAATTTCCGTGTGTGTGTGTGTATGTGTGTGTGTGTGTGTGTGTGTGTGTGTGTTTGAGGTCCCTGACTATCTCCATCACAGATCAAGGGTCCACAATCTCTGCTAGACTCTGCCTCTTTCCAGGGCAGGCCCCTGCATCCCGGCCTCTGCCCAGTTCCCCCTGGGCGTACCTGGAAGGCGCTGGACAGCTTCTCCCTGGGGCTGGCTAGGGCGGCCAGGATGGCAGTGGTGGTGGTTCCAATGTTGGAGCCCAGGGTGAGCGGGTAGGCTCGCTCGATGCTGATCACGCCCAGGCCTGAGGGTGGAAGCAGAAATTGGGCGCAGCAGTGACCAGTGTGAGCAGCACTGGTCCCTACCGGCCCCTCCCCCACCCCAGCTGGAGTCGGGGACTCACCAATGAGCGGGGTGATGGCCGAGGTGAACACTGAGCTGCTCTGCACCACAAAGGTCGTGCCAGCACCCACCACCATGGCAAAATAGCCGGTGACCCAAGTGAAGGGGGCAGGGAAGTCTGCGAGCAAAGGGGTGAGATGTGAGGGTAGGGAATGAGCAGAGATGGGGCGCAGGAGAGAGGGTGTTGGGTGGGGAGGGAAGCAGGGACTCATTCCTCAGGAAGGGGGTATGTCCTGGAGCTTCTGCTGAAGCCAGGCAGTACCCCCCAAAACTTAAAATGAAAATCAGGGGCACCACTGGTCTGATCATTTTTTTTTCTTTTTCTTTTTTTTTTTTTTTTTTTTTGCTTTTTGGGTCACGTCCGGCAATGCACAAGGGTTACTCCTGGCTCATGCACTCAGGAATCACTCCTGAGGGTGTTTGGAGGACCATATGAGATTGCTGGGAACCAAACCCGGGTCGGCCACATGCAAGGCAAATGCCCTACTCACTATGCTATCGCTTCAGCCCCAAGACGGCTCACAAACTTTTTTTTTCTTTTTTGCTTATTTTTGGAGGGTGGGTCACACCTGGCGATGCACAGGGGTTATTCCTGGCTCTGCACTCAGGAATCACTCCTGACGGTGCTCGGGGGACCCTATGGGATGCTGGGAATCAAACCCAGGTTGGCCACGTGCAAGGCAAATGCCCTCCCCACTGTGCTATCGCTCCAGCCCAGGTCTGAGCCTTTGAACAATGGGTAGGGCAGTTGTCTTGCACACATCCCACCTAGGGTTGATCCCCAAGCACCCTATAAGATCCCCTGAGTTCTGCCAGGAGTGAGCACAGAGACAGGAGTATGCTCTGAAGATTGCTGGGAATGGCCCAAAAACAAAAAGAAAAAAGAAAGAAAATCCCAAGGGGTGGGGAGTATGTGCTTTGCATGGGGGTCGGGGCGGGGGATCCCTATTCCAGCGTTACCTGGTCCACCAAGTACCAAGTTAATCAGGCCCACACAGGTGGGCTGGGTACTTGAGAGGAAGGAGTGTTTGGGTCACCTCTGGCAGTGCTTGGGGCTCCTCTGAGCTCTGTACTCAGGAATCCACTCCTGAAGGGGCTGGGGGGCCAAGGGGGAACCAGGGATGGAATCTGGGTTGTCTGTGTTCAAAACAATGCCTTTAACCCTTTACTCTCTGATCCAGGGGTTGCCAGAAGTGGCCCTCATTGTCCGGAGCACTGTTGGGGGGGCCTCACAAAAGAAAATCAGGCGGTATCACTCTGCTGTTCCAACTGAGAAAGTCCACAGGCTGGAGTGATAGTACAGCAGGTAAAGCACTGCCTTGCAAGCAGCCAACTCAGGTTCAATCCCCTGCATCCCATACCGTTCCCTGAGCACCGCCAGGAGTAACTCCTGAGTATCGCCGGGTATGACGCCAAAACAAAGCAAAAAAAAAAAAAAGCCACCCGGGGCTGGAGCGATAGCACAGCGGGTAGGGCATTTGTTTTGCACGCGGCTGACCGGGTTCGATTCCCGGCATCCCATATGGTCCCCCAAGCACCGCCGCCAGGAGGAATTCCTGAGTGCATGAGCCAGGAGTAATAACCCCTGTGCATCGCCGGGTGTGACCCAAAAAGGGAAAAAAAAAATGAGAAAGTTCAGGCTTAGAGCCACAGCGGTAGTACAGCGGGAAGGTCGCTTGCCTTGAATGCGGCTAACTCTGGTTCGATCCCCGGGACGTTATAGGGTCCCCCAGCCCCGCCAGGAGTGATCTCTTAGCACAGACCCAGGAGGAAACCCCGAGCATCTCTGGGTGTGACCTCACCCCGCAAAAAAAAAAAAAAAAAAGGGATTTTTCCCCACAATCCCCCAGCCAAGCTGAGGTGTGACCCTCTGGGATCTGAAGCCCCGCCCTCTCCAAGAAGACCACGCCCGCTCGTGAAAGTCACGCCCACTCCGATAAGGCCCCCCCCCCCCACTCCTATACGGCCCAGTCCGCCAGTTCCTTGGGGCTCACCGGTGTTGATGACCTTCTGGATGACCTTGGCTACCTGGCCTTTGAGCAGGGAATTAAGCATCTTGACCAGAAGAATGAGACACGTGCAGAGCACCACCAGGGAGCCGGCCAGCAGGATCAACCCCACGGCCAAGTCGGGCAGCCCCGTATCCACGAACATGTGGTGACCTGTAGGGGGCAGTAAGCTACTGAGAATGAATCCCCACACCCAGCCCTCACTTTTTTTGGGGGGACGGGAGCCTCCTCAAGCAGCGCTGGGGACCACTAGGGTTCTCCCCAACAGTGCTGGGGATCGAACTCCGGGCGTTGCTCGCGCCAGGCAAGCTCTGTAGCTCTTTGAGCGACGCCCCCCTCCCTCCCAACCTCCACAGCCTCCCACTTTCGCCACCCCCAAGGGCTCAAAGCTCAAAGCCCCCTCAGGGACACGGGTCTAATCCAAGCCCAAGAACTGGAGGGCGTGGCTGAAGTCACTCGGGTTAAAGGGAGGGCTTTCGTGGGGGAGGGAGGGACGCCTCTTCCAGGCTGGACACTCACATTTCTCCAAGCTAGCGTTTCCCAGAGTCCGGCTGGAGTTGGCCGAGGACCTGGGAGCCTAAAGGAAGAGATCAGGGAGTGGAAGGTACCAGATAAAACTGCTTGGCCAGTCACCAAGGTGGGGTGGAGGGTAAGGTGTGTTTTGTTTTGAGGTCACACCCGTGGTGCTCAGGGTTTGCTCCTAGCTCTGAGCTCAGGGATCACTCCTGGAGATGCTTTGAGAACCCTCTGGGGTGCTGGGTTGACCTTGTGCAGGGCAAGTGCCCTACCCACTGCACTTTCTCTCCAGCCCCTGGAAGTGATTTTTTTGCTTTTTGGGTCACACCCAGCGATGCTCAGGGGTTACTCCTGCCTCTGCACTCAGGAATTACTCCTGGCGGTGCTCAGGGGACCATATGGGATACTGGGAATCGAACCCGGGTCGACCACGTGCATGGCAAACGCCCTACCGCTGTGCTATCACTCCAGCCCCTAGAAGTGATATTTTTGCTTCCATATCCTCAGAGAGTTTTGCTTGAGCTGTGAGTCTGTTTGCCCCCCAGCGGATGAGGTTCGGGGCCAGAGAGAAAGGCACTTGCCTTGTTTACAGTGAACCTGGGTTTGATTTGCAGCACGTGAAGTGTCCCCTCGAGCACCGCTAGGGGTCGCTCCTGAGCACAGAACCAGGAATAACTCCTGAGTCACAGTGGGTTGGAGCGCCCCGCCCCCCCAAAAAAAGCCCCAAAGAGGGATAGTGTCAAATTTCAGCTACACAGGAATGAAATATTCTGGGCTCTGAGAGATCTGATTGTTAGGAGAGACTACCACACTGGTGGTGCTCAGCGATTGCTCCTGGCCGTGCTGGAGGGTTACCCCAGCATACTCAGGGGACGCTGTGGGGTTGGGGATGTGGAATTGGGGTTCTGGCGGGCAAATCCTGATCCCCAGCCCCTTAAACCATCTCCCCTAGGCCTGAATGATCAGACTTTCCCCACATGGGTCTCCTGCAATAAGAAATGGTCCTTGTGGTAAAGGTAAAGGCCCTCCCGTTGATCGTCGATTTGCTCGAGCGGGCCCAGTAACGTCTCCATTGGAGACTTTGTTGTTACTGTGTCTGGCATATCGAATACTCTCGGTAGCTTGCCGGGCTCTCCGAGAGGGGCGGAGGAATCGAACTCGGGTTGGCCATGTTGGCCGCTTGTAAGGCGAACGTCCTACCGCTGTGCTATCACTCTAGCCCCAGTTCCTTGTGGATTGCCTAGGAATCATGATCTTCTTTTTGGCAGGGAGGGCCACACTCATGGGTGCTCGGAAGACTCTGTTGTGCCAGGGACTGAACCCAGGGATCATGCATAGAAAGTGGAAGCTGCGCCTTTCCCCCCTCCCTGCTTTCTTTTTGGGCCACACCTGGTAGTACTCAGGGTTTACTCCTGGTGGGCTTGGAGGACCATATAGGATACTGGGGGGTTGAACTCTGGTCGACTACTTGCAAGGCAAGCATCCTACCCACTATATGATTGCTCTGCCTCCCTCCCTAAGAAATATATCACTGTCACTGTCCTCCTGTTGTTCATCGATTTGCTCGAGCGGGCCCAGTAACATTGTGAGACCTGTTACTGTGTTTGGCATATCGAATACGTCACAGGTAGCTTGCCAGGCTTTGCCGTGCGGGTGAGATACTCTCAATAGCTTGCTGAGCTCTCCGAGAGGGGTGGAGGAATCGAACTCGGGTCGCCCCAGTTGGCTGCGTGCAAGGCAAATGCCCTACCCGAAATATATATATATATATACATATATATATATTTTGCTTTTTGGGTCACACCTGGTGATGCTCAGGGATTACTCCTGGCTCTGCACTCAGGAATCACTCCTGGCGGTGCTCAGGGGACCATATGGGATGCTGGGAATTGAACCCTAGTCGGCTGCATGCAAGGCAAACGCCCTACCTGCTGTGCTCTTTCCAGCCCCAAGAAATAATTTTTTAATTTTTTAAAAGTTTTTTTTTAAATTGAGGTGACATCGTTTATTTATTTATTTATTTGCCTTCTGGGTCACACCCAGTAATGCTCAGGGGTCACTCCTGGCTCTGCACTCAGGAATTACTCCTGGCGGTGCTCGGGGGACCATATGGGATGCCGGGGATCGAACCAGGGTCTGCCAGGTGCAAGGTAAACGCCCTACCCGCTGTGCTATTGCTCCAGCCCCAAGAAATAATTTTTAAATTAAAAACTGCAATCTGTGGTTTGCATTTATTTTACCTCCCTCTCCCCCCCGCCGTACCCCAGGACTCTAGCAATCAGCTACAGGGAAGGAAGGCTGTGGGCAGGGCTTGGCTGAGTAGAAGGCATCTCACAAGGAGGATTTGCCGTCCAGAAAGGGCCAGGTCCTCCCAGGCGCCCTGGTGGAGTGCAAAGGATAAACTCCATGACTCTGCTGGAGAGAGTGCCAGGCACGGGCCTCCACGCGGGAGACCCAGGAATGACCACAAGGGGTCACTCCAGAGCAGAGCACAGAATCAGGAACAGCCTGAGCATCCCAGGTGCGTGGGGTGGGTGGGGGAGGGGCAAAGACAACGCAGTTAAAATGAACTTTCCCAGGTCAGGAACTGACCCGGGCCCATTCCCTGGGGAGTTCAGCACCCCACCTTTCTCCAACTTCTGGGTACTATACTCCTGACATTATGACTTAGCAGGATCCTGAGCTTTGATTCTAAATGATATGTCATTGGAAAAAAATAAAGAATGGACCTAGAGCGCTTGGTGGCATCTCACTTTCAATCTGGGTTGCACTCGGTTTGCAGAGGTGCCACCTTGGCAGTGCACAGGGCTTACTCCTGGCTCAGTGCTCAGAAGGGAGATGGAGAGTTGCTCCTGGATGTATTGGGGGGTCATCAGTGCTGGTGAGGAAACCTGGGGTTCGTGCATGCAAAGCCAATCCTGTGTACTGGCCCATTGAGCCATCTCCCTGGCCCTCAATCTGGGGGTTGAGTGGATCAGTGTCAGGGTACCCCAGCTAAACAGTCCAAGGTCTGGGAGGGTCTCCTCAAGGCAAAAATCTCAGGCTGGGGCAATGGTACATTGGGGAGGGGTTTGCCTTAAAAGTGGCTGACTGGGGCTGGAGCAATAGTACAGCAAGGAGGGTGTTTGCCTTGCACGCAGACTACCCGGGTTCAATTCCCAGCATCCTATATGGTCCCCCAAGCACTGTCAGGAATAATTCCTGAGTGCAGAGACAGGAATAACCCCTGAGCATCACTGGGTATGACCCAAAAATAAAAAAAAAATAAAGTGGTTGACTGGATTAAAATCCAGTTGACTTGGATTTGCCCGCCAGCACCCCTGGGGTCCCCCGTACACCACCAGGAGTGATCCCTGAGAGCAGAGCCAGGAGGAAATCTAGAGCACCCCTAGGTGTTCCTCCACCTCCCATCCCCAAATAAACCAGAATCTCAGGCTGAGGAACCAAGAAAGAAGTCTCTGGAGCCCTCGGTTAATTTGAGAGTTGGCTGGGGGCTGCGTCTGAGTGTAGCTTCTATGGCCTGGGAAGCCCTGGGGTGACTCCCTGGCACTGCATGGGGCCACAGTGATAGCACAGAGGGAAGGGAGCTGGCCTGGAACACAGTCAACCCAGACTCGATCTCTGCATCCCACAAGGTCTCCTGAGTACTACCAGGAATAATTCTGAATGCAGAGCCTGGAGTAACCTCTGAGCATTGCCAGGTATGGCTCCCTGCCATGGAAAAAAAAAAAGCCAAACAGGGTTGGAGATGTAAAACAGAAGTTAAGGCACCTGACTTCCATAGGGTCAATCTCACTTCCATTCCCGATACCGTGTGTGTGTGTGTGTGTGTGTGTGTGTGTGTGTGTGAGTGTGTGTTGGGCCACACACTCGGCAGTGCTCAGGGTTTACTTCTGGCTCTGTGTTCAGGGGTTACTCCTGGTGAGCTTGGGGGACCCTATGGGATCCCGGGAATCGAACCCAGGTTGGCCAGATCCAAGGCCAGCTTCCTTCCCGCTGTACTATCACTCCTGTCCTAACCCTCTTGGTCCTCTGAGCTCCGCAGTGTGTGACTTTTCACCTCCTTTGGCCCTGGGGGCTAGGGAGATTGTGGCTAGGGATCCCAGATTAGAGGAGAGCAGGAACCAAACAGGGTTCCCACCCAGGGCTGGCAGGGAGTGGAAAGTCCGGGCAAGGCTAAGGGCTGAGACCTCTGTGGGTTGCAAATTTTGTTGCCTGGGTTTGTCAGGGTCTCCCAGAGAGGAAGGCAAAGCAGATGTGGGCAACGTAAACAGGCTGGAAGGAACAGGAGGAGGGCTCAATCCAGACTTTCTTGAGGATTCCCACTCCAGCAAAGAACTTGAGAGGGGGCTGGAGCAATAGCACAGCTGGTAGGGCATTTGCCTTGCACGCGGCCAACCCGGGTTCGATTCCCAGCATCCCATATGGTCCCCTGAGCACCGCCAGGAGTAATTTCTGAGTGCAGAGCCAGGAGTAATCCCTGTGCATCGCTGGGTGTGACCTAAAAAGAAAAAAGAACCTGAGAGAAAGAGTGAGGAGAGAGAAGAGAGCGTGTGAGCTCAAAGGGTTAAGTGTAGGCTTGGCATGCATAATTTGGTTTGGTTTGGTTTTGGGGTGACACCCAGCAGTGCTTGCACTCAGAGATCACTCCTGGTGAGCTCAGGGGACCCTGTGGGATGCGGGGAGTTGTACCTGGGTCTGTTACATGCAAGACAAGTGCTTTGCCCACTGTACTATCGCTCTAGCCCGTTTTTGTCTTTTTTAGGGGGTTCACACTCAGCTCAGGGCTTCCTCCGGGCTCTGTGCTCACGGGTGACTTCGGCAGGGGTGGGGGGCTTGGGGGCTCTTACGCAGAGTCGAATCAAACCCAGGTCAGTCGTGTGTTGGGCGAATACCTTCACCCCTGTCCTATCTCTGTGGTCCCAGGACTGCGTTTTGCTTTTCTTACGCGCAGTCTGAAGCCTGGAGGAGTGGGTGGTGAAGATTCAGGGAAGAGAGATTTGGGGAATCCGCAGAACCCACCCAGCCCGCCAAGGCTCTGAGATTAAGCTCACTGAGCCTTATCTGGCTGTCAATCCTTCCCACCAGACCGGCTGGGGAAAGCTGTGGCGCTACAGCGCCATCTGGCGTCAGAGACAAGAACTGCTCAGAAACGGCTGGTAACCACCCCCAGGAAGCATCTAGTGGGCGGGGTGGGGGTGGGGGTCGCTGTCCCCAGTGGCTTCCAGGCCTGATGAGCGGTGGGAAAGGCTCGTGTTGGGGCGTGGGGGTGGGTGGGGAAATTCACGCTGTCCTCTAGAGGAGGCAAGAGGTGCAAAGTTAGGGACGCGAGTTCTGGACTTCACTAGAATTTTCATTCGGTTTCCACCCCAAGGCCCTGGGGGTGAGCCTCGATTTCTTCATCTGTGAAATGGGCAGGTGATTCATTCCTGCCTCTCAGTTTAGGGCTCTTCAAAAGATGTTTCTTGGGGCTGGAGCAATAGCACAGCGGGTAGGGTGTTTGCCTTGCACGCGGCTGACCCAGGTTCGATTCCCAGCATCCCATATGGTACCCCAAGCACAGCCAGGAGTAACTCCTGAGTGCAGAGCCAGGAGTAACCCCTGTGCATCGCCGGGTGTGACCGCCCCCCAAAAAGCAAAAGATGGTGTTTTTTTTTGGGGGGGTGTCACACCTGGCAATGCACAGGGGTTACTCCTGGCTCTGCACTCAGGATTTACTCCTGGCAGTGCTACTCCTGGCTCTGCACTCAGGAGTTACTCCTGGCAGTGCTCAGGGGACCATATGGGATGCTGGGAATCGAACCCGGGTCGGCCACGTGCAAGGCAAACACCCTACCCACTCTCCTATTGTTCTGACCCCTCTCTCTCCTTTTCTTTCTCTCTTTCTCTTTCTCCCTCCCTCTTTCTTTCCTTCTCTCTTGACATGCCCACTGCCCTTACTTGCAAGTGTTCACCCAACTTGTTTGCCCACATTGGGGCTGTCATGTTTGCCAGGCAGGGGAAGAGGCACACACCTGCCCAAGGGGCACCGCACACATTCACCTTGTTGTGGCCCCAAACAACAGAATCTGGAGGTTCCAAACCACAGCATCGCAGCATCACACCGGGTGGATGTGGGCAGTGCGGGTAGTCAGGGACTGAACTCACTGACCTGCCTGCAAGGCATGTGTTTGACCACTGACCCTTTTCCTGGGCCTCCCTGGCCTGTTTCCCCCGCCCCCCTCCTCACCCTCTGGAGAAACTCAGAGCCTCAATCTTCCCCTTGGAGACGGAGGTTCTCTGGAGAATAGTTTAGGCAAGGTTGGATTCAGCTCTAGGCACTTTTTTTTGTTTGTTTAGTTGTCTTTTGGGTCAAGTCTGGCGTTGCTCGGAGCTGACTCCTGGCTTTATGCTCAAGGACCACTCCTGGCAGTGTTCCGGGGACTATATAGGGTGAGGGGGATCAAACCCGGGTTGGCTGTTTGCAAAGCAAGCACCTTCCCCGCTGTACTATTGCTCCGGTTCCTCTGTGCAAGACCAGGAGGAAAATAGAAGCTGGCGCAAGGAGATGGCACCAAAGGAGAAGCACCTCCTTGAAGGCAGGAGACACAAAAATGTTACAAGAGAGCAACGCAGCAGCAGGAGTCATATTGCTCCGCTCCATATCTGACTTCCGCCCCAGCATCTGACTTCCGCCCTGCTTGAGTGACACCTGGCGATTCTTCCGGTCTTTTCCTGGTTCTGTGCTCAGGAGCGACTCCTAGTGGTCTACAAGGGTGGTGCAATGCTGGCATTTGAATCAGGGTTCCCGCCGTAATCAAGGCAAGCACCTAACCCTTGGATTATCTCTCCTGGACTCAGCCTGCTCTTGGCATGGCTTGGCACTGAGCGGGTAGCTCAGAGAGTCAGTGTGCAAGGTCCCGAGTTCAATCCCTGACACTGCTTGTAACCCATCCAACACCAGCAGTGAAGGAACATGGAATGGGCTGTCCATGTTGAGATAAAAGTTGGCAAATCCATGGTGAGTGGAGAGGAAGCAGGGCAAGGGTTAGCTCTCTCTCTCTCTCTCTGGCTTCAGTGTTCTTGTCTCTGGCTGCAAAAGGCTTGCATTCTGACAGCCTAGCATGCCAGAGCACATGCTTTACATGCAAGGAAACTAGGAGTCTATTCCTGGCACTGCATGTTTCCCGAGCATAGAACTGGGAGCAGACCCTGAGCACCATTGGATGGAACCAGAAAACCACAAAAAACAAAATAGCAAAAAGAGAATCCCTGTTCTTTTTGGGTCACACCTGGCGATGCACAGGGGTTACTCCTGGTTCATGCACTCAGGAATTACTCCTGGCTGTGCTCGGGGGACCAATGGGATGCTGGGAATCGAACCTGGGTTGGGCTGCATGCAAGGCAAACACTGTACCCGCTGTGCTATCACTCCAGCCCCGAGAATTCCTGGGTTTCCAAATGCAGGTTGATTGGTAGTGGCTGTATAAAGCCAGTTTGATTCTGGGAGGGATTAGCAATATCTGCTACTGCCACAGTGTCAGTGAAAGAGGTGAGTTTGGGGAGCCAGAGAGATAATATAGGGGTCATGGTGTTTGCCTTGCATACAACAATCACATTCAATCCCCAGCACCCCATACCATCCCCGGATCACCTCCAGGAGTGATTCCTTAGCTCAGAGCCAGGAGTAAGCCCTGAGCACTGTCCCAGTGACCCCAAATGACAAGTTTTTGCCCACTCTACACTAATTGATCTCCAAGGTCTCTCCGAAGCTTTTTTTTTTTTGAGTAGGGGGTACAACCAACCCAGTACAGGGATTCATTAATTTCCTTTTTTTTTCTTTTTTTTTTTAGGTCACACCCAGCGATGCTCATGGGTTATTCCTGGCTCTTCACTCAGGAATTACTCCTGCCGGTGCTTGGGGTACCATATGGGATGCTGGGGATCGAACCCAGGTTGGCCACGTGCAAGGCAAATGCTCTACCTGCTGTGCTATCGCTCCGGCCCCCCATATTTTTTTTGATATGTGAGTGGGTACACACAACCATGTGCAGGGCTTACTTCTTTCTGGCTCTATGCTCAAGAGTCACTCTTTTTTTTTGTCTTTTTGGGTCATACCCAGCGATGCACAGGGGTTACTCCTGGCTCTGCACTGAGAAATTACTCCTGGCAGTACTCAGGGGACCCTATGGGATGCTGGGAATCAAACCCAGGTTGACCGTATGCAAGGCAAACGCCCTACCTGCTGTGCTATTGCTCCAGCCCCTCAAGAATCACTCTTGTCAGAGCGTGGAGGACCACATGTGGTGCTGAAGATCGAACCCTGGCCAGCCACGTGCAAGTCTCTTACCCACTGTACTATTTCTCGGGTCCCCAACTCGCATATTTGCAGGCAAAGAATACCTTCCAGCTCTCTGAGCTGTCTCCCCTGTTCTTTGGCAGCATTTACCCGGATGACGACGCCACCAGTAAGCTGCCTGATGAGGCGCCCGCTTACCAGAGCTGGGACTTACCTCTGCGGTGTCCGAAGAGCACCAGATCCTGATGAGACTGTGGTTCCGCAGGGACTCATCCCCGATGGCGATGCTGGTGATCACGGATTTGTCCAGCTACGGGCCACACGTGGGTGGGACAGAGCGCAGGGACGGCGCTTTCAAGCCCCCAGCTCCACCCCCGGCCCCACCCCAACCTGGATGATGAGCTTCGTGAAGGGCTCCGTGATGATCTTGAGCAGATCGGGGGCGTCCTGACCGCCGCGGATATTAAAGGAGGCCACCACAAGGCCGGTGACGTGGTGCAGGTAACCGGTAACAGCCTCCAGGGGCAGTAGGACGAGGACCGACAGCCAGTTGAAGCAGTCGTGCACCGTGGCCCCCGCGAAGGCCCTGGGCAGGGAGCCACTTTGCCTGGTGGCTGGGCAGGGCTCCTGGCCACTGGCACCGCCCTCTGCAGCCACCGAGCACAGATCCCTTCCCTCCCCACGCTCTACCCCTACACCCCGCCTCACACCCTGGCATGCACCCTTACCGACCCCTGCCCACCCCCCCTTTACCTCGCAGGACCCCTTGCCCAGAGACCACCACTGTACCCCTCCCCCAGCCCTACACCACGCCCCTTTGACCATTCCCCTAGCTATGTCCCACCCTACATCCGTCCCGCCCCACGCTGTGCCACGCCCCCTTACTAAGCCCGGCTCTATTCCTGCATGCTTCACCACTTCCACTACTTCATCACGCCCCTATAACCACCTGGTCCCACGTCAAGCCACACCCCTTCATCCCAGCCTTCTCTACACCTCGCCACACCCTGCACCTGCCCCATGACTGTCCCCACCCATGCGCACCACGCCCCTGTGACAGCCCCCACCCGATCTCAAGCCACACCACATGCCATTCTCTGCACCACGCCCCTATTAGAGACCCGCCCCACACCAGGCCACGCCCACCACGGCCTTCTCTGCACCACGCCCCCATGACTGTCACGCCCATTATAAAGCCACGGCCACACCCAGCCCTGCACCACACCCCGTGAAAAGCCACGCCCATCCACACAAGCCACGCCCACCAAGCCCTATCTTCGCGCCACGCCCTAAGACAACCACGCCCACCCTAAGCCACGCCCCCCGCAATTTCGCGCATGCCCCTGTGACAGCCACGCCCATCTCAAAAGCCATGCACATCACTACGGGCTCTACACTAGGCCGGTGACAGCCCTGTGACAGCCCTGCCCGTCCCAATTCATGTCCCCACATCCTCTGCACCACACCCCTCCACCCAGCTTTATTCCTACCACGCCCGCGTGCCCCTCACCGCCGGAACTCTGTCCTGTCGCCCGCCTGCATCAGTGCCACGATGGTGTTGGTGACAGAGGTGCCGATGTTGGAGCCCATGATGATGGGGATGGCGGAGCTCACTTCCAGCACTGGCAGAGAAGAGGAGGAGGTCTCTGGACTTTCTGGGGGGGTAGGTCACTCGACGCTTGCTCTCAAGGGACCTCCTGGCCGACCCCCCACCAGATCCCAGCCCCCAGCCAGCACTCTTGCCCAGCTGCTGACTCTGCACGACCTTGAGGCCACAGGTCCTGGTGGGCACGCACCGGTGAAAGACGTATTTTGTGTGCACTCACGAGAAAAGGCAGGGGGCGGGAGCGATAGCACAGTGGGTAGGGCACTTGCCTTGCACGCGATAGACCCAGGTTTCGACCCCCAGCATCTCATGGGGTCCCCAGAGCACATAAGAAGTGATCCATGAGCACAGAACCAGGAGTAATCCCTAAGCACTGCTGCGTGTCGCCCAAAAACAAAATAGGGGGGAGGGAGGTGTCTCAAGGGACTAGAGGACAGACTTTGCATACAGGAAATCCCAGGTTCCATCCCATCAGCCCATAGTTGACCTGAGTACCACTGAGTGTGGTTCAGAAACAAAATAAAGGAAACAGGTGCCCTGTCCTTTTTTTTTTCTTTTTGGGTCACACCCAGCGATGCACAGGTGTTACTCCTGGCTCTGCACTCAGAAATTACTCCTGGAGGTACTTGGGGAACCATATGGAATGCTGGGAATTGAACCCGGGTTGGCTGTGCTCAAGGTAAATGCCCTACCCACTGTGCTATCGCTCCAGCCCTGTGCCAGGTCTTTCTATATGAGGAAACTTTGTTCTCTTTGCAAGAGCCTACTTGTGCCGATAAACCTAATGTTTAATTTCTCTTTGGGGTTGGGGGGCACACCTAGCTGTGTCCTGCCTGGGGCCACTCCAGTTCAGTGCTCAGCCAACCGTGCCAGGGTTGGAACTGCCTGGCTCTTGGCTCCCGCCCTTTGAGCCTTCCCCCTCACCGGGTATCGCTCAGTTTCAAGGGTCTGAACACCTTGGGATTAGAAACACTGATTCCTGCCCAGTTGAAAATCTGTCTGCCGCTTTCTCAGTCACAACCCCCACCCCCGACACACACACACAAACATAGCCACAATTTAACAAGGACAGGTCTCTGTTTCTGGTTTTTCGCTCCTGTGGATTGAAATCCCAGAAGAGATTGGTTGAATGTGGAAGCCAAGGAATGTCAGAAGTGAGCCTGGGATTCAGAGTGACAAGTACATTGGCTCAGGCTGTTGCCTTGTACATAACCAACTCAGGTTCGATCCCCAGCACCCCAGATGTTCCCCCCAAGTCCTCCAGGAGTGATACCTGAATGTAGAGCCAGGAGTAAGCCCTGAACACCACTAGGTGTGGCCCCTTCCCCCGAAAAGTGATCTTGTTCCAGGGGGAGCCCCGTGGGGAGTTAAAGATCAGGTGTGGATCCTCTTTTTTTGGGGGGGGAAGAGTCATACCCAGTGATGCTCAGGGGTTACTCCTGGCTCTGCACTCAGGAATTACTCCTGGTGGTACATGGGTGGACCATATGGGATGCTGGGAATCAAATCCACATCGTCTGCATGCAAGGCAAACACCCTACCCGCTGTGCTATCACCCCAGCCGCTGTGGGTCCCTCTTTCTCTGACTGTTTCCTGGATTGATGGTATGAATGATTGTGTGGTATCATGGAGGTGAGTCTTCCTGGGACGGTGTCTCATGCATCCTCCACCCTTGTTAGCTTTTGAGGGTACCCCCTGCGTGAATCCTGGCATGCTTTGGGGAAAGATGCTAGAACCATGCTGTTTGGTCTCAATGCTCCCATCCTGGTCCCTGATAGGCTCTCTTGAGGTCCCCGCACCCTGTCCCCTCCCCCATCCCCCGACTCACAGCCAGAGGAGACCATGCTGACGATGATGGATGTCGAAGTGCTGGAACTCTGGACCAACACAGTCACCAGGATGCCCACCACCAGCCCAGCCACCGGGTTCGACAGAATGGCGTTGTCCTTAAAAATGTCACCGGCCACCTTTCCTGGGGGGCAGGTGTCAGGTGGTCCGAGTCCCCTGGGAGCCCAGCCCCACTCTCCCCACCTCTGGCCCTACCTCCGGCCAGCTGGAAGGCAGAGCTGAGCACATCCAAGGAGCAGACGAAGAGGTACAGGAATGTGAGCATCAGGGGGACCTTGAGGATGTTCACCCCAATCCGGCGCAGCTTCTGGGGCCACCCAGACTCTGGGGACAGGTTAGCCCAGCTTTGAGTCTAGGCAGTCACTACCCCACCCCACCCCACCCTGCGCACCTTCCAGTCCCCGCTCCTTGCCCAGACCTACCTGGCTGTTTCCCATCATCCAAGGCCAGCTTAACTGGCATTGGGTCGTGGAGTTCCAGAACCTCCCCAAAGGGACAGCCGTGCTCAGTGAGGGCCACGGGGCCCAGGCTGGGGAAGCCATAGGCTGAGGTGCCTGGGATCCTGTGCAGGACTGAGATAGATGCTGTGACTAGATATCCTGGAGCTCCGACTCCCAGGCATCCCCTTCTAATTCTGGGGTGTTGGAGTCCACAGATGGGCCAGGTTTTGGGGGTGCACTCACCCTGGGGGCTGGGGACATAGGCAAAGGCTGTCCCATGCATCATGTGTCCCCCGCAGACCGGGACTGAGGAGACAGCCGGACCCCCCAATCTCTCTCCATAAGACATCATCATGAGGGCGCGTGGCAGGTCCTGATAGTGGGGTCCACGTGACCTGGAAAGCACTCACTCTTGCACCTGGGAACCATACCACCCCATTTCGCCAATGCCCACACACTGCTGTACCCCAACACCCATGGGGTATGGGGCGGGGGAAATCCCTAACACGTGCCTAGCGGAGCACTCAGAGTGGTGACCAGCCCAGACCACAAATTCCAAGGTCTCCTTCACGAGAGAATATCTTTCTTTTGGGTGAGGGGACTGCTGGAGGGAGGTTGGAACACATCCTGCCCTGCTCAGGGGCTATTCCTGGCTCTACACTCAGGAGATACCTCTCGTGGTGAGACCATATGTGGTGTTGGGAATAAACTGAGGCCAGCCACGTGCAAGGCAGGGCACCGTTTTTTGTTTTTTTGTTTTTTTTTCTTTTTGGGTCACACCCGGCAATGCACAGGGGTTACTCCTGACTCTGCGCTCAGGAATTACCCCTGGCGGTGGTCAGGGGACCATATGGGATGCTGGGAATCAAACCGGGGTTGGCTGCGTGCAAGGCAAACACCCTACCCGCTGTGCTATTGCTCCAGCCCCAAAGGCAGGCGCCTTAAGGCAAGCTGCACTATCTATATTTTGGGAGTGATGAGGTTTCAGCCATACCTGGCAGTGCTCAGGGCTTACTGCTGGTCTGCACTCAGGGATCGCCCCTGGTGGGTTCAGGGGACCATAGAGGATGCATCTAGGATTAAATCCAGGTTGACTGCGTGCAAGGCAAGCACTCTATCTGCTGTACTATCACTCCATCCCCAACCCCAGTGCTATCTCTTTGGTCCATTAGGCTACTGGTTTAGGGAAGGAGTCCCTCTCTTGTCCTCAAGCCTTGGCAAGCCCTTGGGTACAACTAAATACTTGTTGGCTGTTGAGATGGATGTACCCCAAGCTGTCTCAGATCCCCACCCAACTCCCATCCCCAACATTCTCCACATGAGCCCTTCGCTGTTAGGATGAGGGTGTCAAGGCAAAGCCAGAACTTGGGAGAGCATCAGAGTGAACTTGGGGAATGTGCCAGGCTAGGGTGAGAGGGCAGAGGGGGAAGTTAGAACAGTTGGGGGGCACGTAAGCATAGTCTGGGAGGTAAGGTACTGGCCTGGCAAGTAGCCAATCCCTGGCCCCTGAGTCCCACCAGGATCCTTGAGCACAGAGTACGGGATCATCCCTGAGCACTGACAGGTGTGGTTCCCACCCCCCAACAAAAACCAAACCAAACCAACAACCAAAGAACTGGCACCGGAGCGATAGTCTAGAGGGGAGGGTGCCTGCCTTGCATGTGGTTGACCTGGGTTTGATCCCCAGCATCCCATAGGATCCCCTGAGCACTGCCAGGAGTGATTGCTGAGTGCAGAGCCAGGAGTCAGCTCTGAGCACTGCTGGGTGTGGCTCCCAAACAAATGAAAGCAAAAAAAAGAAAGAAAGAAAGGAAGGAAGGAAGGAAGGAAGGAAGGAAGGAAGGAAGGAAGGAAAGAAAGAAAGAAAGAAAGAAAGAAAGAAAGAAAGAAAGAAAAAAAGAAGAGGGGGGAGAAATGGGGCCACGGGTTATTTCCCCCCCAAGAGCTGGGACTCACCTGGGGTTCTGTGTTTCGGCTTCTGTTCACTTGCTCAGAGAAACCCAGGGACCCTTCTTTTTGTATCCTCGGATGAAGGGCAAAGTCCCTGGCACCCCAGCCACCCTCTGTTCACATTAACCTCCCCTCCTGTCTGACTCCTCCCGGTTAATTGCTAATCGTTGGCTCTGCAGGGGAGTCTGTGGTCCAAGTCGCCCCTGCCACCCCAGACACTCAGCCTGAGTGGACCCTGATACCTCTCAGGGTCTCCCAAAGGAATTGTGTGTCTCTCACAGGACTCCCTGTGGCCGTACTGTGGTCCTGCGTGTCTGTGGTCTGTCTGGTTGTCTTGGGGGTGGTATTTGGAACAGAGTGGGTGTGATGGTGGAAGCTGGAAGCAGTAAACCCAAACCTGAGAGGCTGGTGGTGTTGAATCATGGGGGGTTCTAATGCCTCCAGAGGTCCACTGTGGGAGTCTAGAAACACAGGACCCCTGGTCAGACTAAAAGAGCCAATTTGTCCATCCATCTATCCATTCTTCCCTTTCTCTCTCCCTCTCTTGATTCCTCCATAATCATTTATCTGTTTATTCATCCTTTAATCTACTCACCCATCCATTCACCTGCCCTCATCCATCTACTTACCATTCCACACATCCATCATTCGCCCCTCCATTATTCATCTATTTATCTTTTCATCTGTCCACCCATCCACCCACCTACCCATCCATCATCTCTCCATTTATTCATTCATCTATCCACGCATCCCTCCACCCATCCACCCACACATACTTCACCCACTACCGATCTATCCATTCACCAATCTGCCATCTATTCTTGTTTTTTTTTCTTTTTTGGCTTTTAGGGTCACACACGGTGATGCTCAGGGGTACTCTTGGCTCTGCACTCAGGAATTACTCCTGGTGGTGCTCAGGGGGCCCTATGGGATGCTGGGGATTGAACCAGGGTAATGCCCTACCCACTATACTAACACTCTGGTCCCTTGCCATCTACTCTTTCTTCCATCAATTACCCATCTACCATCAACTCATCCATCTATCCATCTGTTCACTCACCAATCCATCCATCTGCTCACCATGTACCGACCCCCCATGTACTCATTCATCTATCCACACGCCTACCCATCATTCAAGCATCCATCCACCCACCCACCATCTACTCATCCTAGCAAACACTGATCTTTCCATCCACCCGCCCACTCACTCAGCAATATCATCCACTAATCCACCCATTCGTTCTCCCATCCATCCACCCATCCACCACCAATTCATTCATCCATCCATCTTCCCACCCACCCCACCCTTCCAACTATCCAGCCAGTCATGAGCTGATCCGTGCGTTCCTCATGGAATTTCCTCGGTGAAATTCCTCCTGGTGTTCCTTTAAGATGGCCAATACCAGTTTCTGTCCAATCCCAGGAAACAGTCCAAGCAATCCCAGAGTCAGCATGAAATCCCCACACCACAGCCCTAATCCCTTCACCCATAAAATAGCAATAAGAGCACCAGAGAGAAAGTGAAGTGGGTAGGCCTTATATATGGACTGCTAGAGTTTGTCCCCTAGCAGTGCTCAGGGGATTATGTGGTACCAGAAGTTGAACCCCAGACAGGCCCATCCTAGTCTCCATATCAGTCATCTGGTCCCTAGATTTCTACAATAATGTCAGGTCAAAAATCTCTCCTCTTGGGGGGCTGGAGACATAGTATAGCCATCAAGGCTGTTGCCTCACATGCTTGCCTGGTAAGAGAGAGAAAGCGAGAAAGAAAGAGAAAGAGAGAAAGAAAAAGAAGGAAAGAAAGACAGACAGACAGACAGACATACCAGCAATTCCTCTTGGCTCACCAGTGCTCTGCACTCCAACTCAGTCTCTAATGTAAGGGGTGGGAGCAATAGAACAGCGGAGAGGGCATTTGCCTTCTACCTGTCCAACCTGGGTTCAATCCCCGGCATCCCATAGGGTCCCTCAAGCACCGCCAGCAGTGATCCCTGAGTGCAGAGCCAGGAGTAGCCCCTGAGCATCACCAGGTGTGGCCCCCAAACAAAAGGCAAAATAAAATGAACAAAACCACACTAATGTAGGTTAGGGCTGGGGAGTAAGAAGTGAGGGTAAGGGCCAAACTGATACTACAAAACAGATAGGGCACTTGTCTGGCAGGCAGCCAACTCCAGTTCGATCCCCATAGGGTTCTCCCAAACTCCGCCAGGAGTGATTCCTAGCACAATGCTAAGAGTAAGATCTGAGCACTGCCAGGTGTGCCTCCACAAAAAAAAAGGGGGGGGTCAGAGGTGAATGTTTTTCTTTATCTCTCTTTCTTTCCTTCTTTCCTTCCTTCTTTCCTTCCTTCCTTCCTTCCTCCCTCCCTCCCTCTCTCCCTCCTTCCCTCTTTCTTTCTTTCTTTCTTTCTTTCTTTCTTTCTTTCTTTCTTTCTTTCTTTCTTCTTCCCTCTTTCCCTCTTTCCCTCTTTCCCCCTTTCTTTCTTTCTCTTTCTCTTTCTTTCTCTTTTTTTGGGTCACACCCAGTGATACTCAGTGATACTTACTCCTGGCTCTGTACATAGGAATTAGTCCTGGCATTGCTCAGGGGACCATATCGGATGCCGGGAATTGAAGGTGTGTCAGCTGTGTACAAGATCAACGCCTTACCCGCAGTACTATTTCTCTGGCCCTGGTGAATGTTTTTCATGCCTGGAACAGATTCCAAAGCACTAGATATTTCCAAACACCATTGCATGCTGGGGCACAAGCAATGAACCATCCATTCAGTTGGCTGCATTTCCAAGGAGTGGTCCCAGGGCTTCAAGGCTCCCTCTGTAGAAAACTCAAATACTAGGACTGGCGCAATAGTATAGAGGGCAGGGCAGTTGCCTTGCACTCGACTGACCCAGTTCTATCCCCAGCACCACGTGTGTTACCCCAAGTATCCCCAGGAGTGATCCCTGAGCCAGGAGAACCTTTGAGCATTGCTGGGTGTGATCCAGAAAACAAAACAACAATGACTCAATAATAAAATAAGGTAAAGGCTCTCCCGTTGTTCATTGATTTGCTCGAGCGGGCCCAATAACGTCTCCATTGGAGACTTTGTTGTTACTGTGTCTGGCATATCGAATACGTCACGGGGAGCTTGCCAGGCTCTGCCGTGCGGGCGAGATACTCTCGGTAGCTTGCCGGGCTCTCTGAGAGGGGCGGAGGAATCGAACTCGGGTTGGCCATGTTGGCTGCATGCAAGGCAAATGCCCTACCGCTGTGCTATCGTTCCAGCCCTGGTGAATTAATAATGAAATAAATAAATAAAAATTGGGGACTATAGCACAGTGAGTAGGGCGTTTGCCTCGCATGCGGCCAACCTAGGTTCAATCCTCAGCATCCCATATGGTCCCCTTAGCACCACCAGGAGTAA